AAACATGGTCTTTTCCAAGTTAAACGCAAACCTGCATCAGAAGGAGAAACACCTCATCGAGTCCCTCCGCCATTCTCCGCGATCATCGAACCCTTTCCTTATCACCGAACGCCAGGAGGATAAGCAACTATGCATCTCGTCGAGGAGTCTGCATGTGAGCGATTTTGCGCTCGTCAAGACTCTTGGAACCGGTCAGCGCGTGACCTATCTCATATTTCTCTTATACGAGTGGTGTCTGACTGTTCATGTTTTTTTTCTCATCTGTAGGCACTTTCGCTCGGGTGTGGCTCGCAAGGTTAAAAGATGAAAAAGACAAAGACAAAGTTTATGCGCTGAAAATCCTTCGAAAGGCGGACGGTAAGCGCCACTTTATCTAACGTTGCGCGTGGCGAGGGATAATTCGTGCTGATTCCGACTGAAAAGTGATTAAACTCAAGCAAGTGGAACATGTGCGCAACGAGCGCAAGGCTCTCGCAGCGGTCATTGATCACCCTTTCATCACCACCCTGATTGCCTCATTCTCGGATGACAAATGCCTTTACATGCTGGTATGGCACTTTCTTTGAATTTGAAATATGCCGTGGTTGAGCACAGGGTGTTAACGAATTGCTAGCTGGACTATTGTCCTGGAGGCGAGATATTCACGTATCTACGACGACAGCGACGCTTCAGCGAAGCAACATCGACCTTTTATGCCGCCGAAATAACAATGACAATCGAGTTCCTGCACGACGTCCATGGAATTGCATACCGAGATCTCAAACCGGAGAATATCCTGTTGGATGCCGATGGTCATATCAAGCTCGTTGACTTCGGGTTTGCGAAGCAAGTCGATAACCGCGAGACGTACACATTATGTGGCACACCGGAATACCTGGCTCCAGAGGTTATTCAAAACAGTGGCCATGGACTTGCAGTAGACTGGTGGGCTCTTGGAATCTTGATCTATGAATTCTTGATCGGACAGCCCCCTTTCTGGGATCAGAACCCTATGCGCATCTACGAGCAGATTATCGAAGGTCGTCTACGCTTCCCACCCAATATGCCGGCCGCAGCACAGAACATTGTCTCCCTACTCTGTAAAACAAATCCGTCGGAGCGACTTGGCTACATCTCTGGTGGCTCAACTCGAGTCAAGTCCCATCCGTTCTTTCAAGATGTCATTTGGGATGATTTGTTTTATCGCCGGGTCAAAGGACCTATAGTTCCCCACCTATCCCACCCGGCGGACACGGGTAACTTTGAAGAATACCCGGATCCCCCCGACCTCAGAAACATGAACATTTACACGGAAGATCTGAAGAAGAAGTACGAGGCATTATTCAGTGACTTCTGAAAGATTTGTTTGCCATGACAGTCCACCAAGCTCTCACCGAATCTTCGTTCTTCCGAGATTCTCAGATGACGGCCATCTCTCTCTAACCCCACGAAACCCCCACGGACGCCTCCCCACGTGAGCGAATGCTCCTCCACCCAGAGGCCGCACTCGCGATCAGTCGCGCCGATCTTAACCTTTTGTTTTTCAGATGAGATCCCATGACAGTCCTTGGAATGTATGCCTGTGGCGAATCTGGCCTCGGAGGATATCACACGCCTTGCCATGCTGTTCAGCCGCTCTCGCCGCCACCATTTGACCTTCCCACACATTCACACTCACGCACCAGTATGATGACCTTTCCGGGCAGAGTATGGGAGCATTTTTCTTAATTTCTTTCTCTCACATGCCCTTCCCTTTGCAGAAACCTTGTGTTGACCATGAGCATGGAGATGAATCACCTGAGATCCATACTCTTGCCTAAACACCCCAGCGACCTCACAAAGTTTCGAGGCGCAACCTTGCGAACGGAATCCGTTTTAATGCCACTTTCTTTTGACTCTCTTTTCGTCGTAAAGTTATCAACATATATAGTTATGGGTGGTTGATCACGATGTTACATAGGAGGTTGCTTTTTTTATTCGGGATTTTCAATATCCACTCGAGATAATGCTCGCTGCATCTACATGTAGGTATGTATTTTCATCTTGAACATATGGTTTCATTGTTATCATAAATTTTATGTTATATCGCACTGTTTCAATAGATTATATCCTTTGCGATCTAATGTATGAGGTTCTCGCAACCATCTCATCGAGTATAGTAGAGATGCAGATCCTTTCGATAGCATCCTGAGAAATGCTCTGTCTTCTAGCAGTGGACGTTTAAGTATGCTTTAATGCCATCCCACAACACAATACAGTTTATCTATCCCATAAATGAGAGGGCTTGAACCTTTGATATATTATACAGTACCACATTCAACCCAACAAGAATAGTCGACCGCTTATGCAGCCTCGTGATGCTGTTGCTGGTCAGATATTATTTTTCGGTTTGAAAGAGAGATGATAAGAGGAAAGAAATGATAGATGAACGATCGGTAGTTTACACCCAAACGGGGGACGCTACGGCACCTCCAATCAAAACTGATACAGAGCGTCTGAATCCGCAACAGTAAAAGGCGAAATCTTAAGCCGTCCTATGTCTTTTTTGTATATATTTTCCTGCTCTTCTCAGTTCTATAGATAACTAGACGGCAGAAAAATACGGTAGAATGCTCAAAACGTGCCGATGGCTTTTCTATATATAACCGGGGATTGGATCCTTCTAAGTGGCTTTGCACAGGCGGCCATCCTCACTCTCAATCCACTCGTCAGACCCGACAGCGGTTTTGGCGTAGAAGATGTCCTTGGGATCATACTTGGCCTTGACCTTGCGCAAGGCATCATAGTTGGTACCATAGAAGACCTCCTTGAAGTTGGGCTGTTGGAAGTCACCCTGCAAAAGGATAAGCATACGTCCACAAGGATGAAGAAAATTAGAGCTATATATCAATTTACATACCTCATTCATATAAGCACCGGATCTGGGAGAAAGCGCAGTCAGCTTAGGAATGAAATCCTCGGTCATTTGGCGCTGGCGCTCCAACATGAGAGCAGAGTTGTCCCACTCCCACGGGGTCGTCAAAGTAGTATCAATCAGAGCCTCGCGCCAAGCAGGGAGGACCGCATTGTGGACATCTCCAGACACCTTGTGGGAGACATTCAAGCCGACACCGATGAAGGTACCGCCCGCCTCGGTGATCTCACGGTAAGCAGTCATTAGGCCGTGGTTGTTGTTCTGAACAACAGATCTCGGGATCAGCCAGCCTCCATACTGGGCAGTACCAACCTGGATAACGCCTTGCATATCCTTGAACTGGCTGTAGTAGCTCTCGTATTGCTTGGCCACCATGTTGTACTTGATGCCTAGCTTATCGAGGCTGTCGGTGAAGGGCTTGAGAAGCGCCACCAAGTCGGCGACAGGGATGTTGGGACCAGTGATCGGGGAAATAGAGAAGCTGGTATTGGTGAAGTACCAGACACTCATAGCACCTGCGTCAACAATAGCGGGCAGCTCGGCGTGGAAGGTCTCGACGGTATCGAAGAAGGTATCTTGCGAGATACCCTCATTCGTGTAGGTCAGGTTCAAGCCCGAGACGGGAGTTCCGGGGTGTGCCTTCGAGGTCATGGACCAGACAATACCGTAAGTTCCAGCACCGCCACCGCTCAGAGCCCAGAAGATATCGGAGTACTCGTTGTCGCGGGTAGCAGTAATGAAGTTGCCCTGGCCGTCAATGACTTCCCATTTCAGGACTTGATCAGCGCCCAAGCCGTAGCGGGAGCCAAGTGCGGAATGACCACCTCCTTGGGTGTAGCCACCGGCAAGACCAACGGTGGGACATTCACCGCCAACAACCTGGTAACCAGTCTCCTCGGCGATCTCGTAGGCCTCGTAGCCCTGAATTCCAGCGCCCATGGTAATGGCCTTTCCAGCGTAGTGCGTATCCTTGTAGTCGTGGATTGACAGATCCTTTAGGTGGTGAGTCCAGATTGCAAGGGCTCCAGCACCAGTGGACCGGCCATTGTAGTCATGGCCGGTGTTACGGATAACAAGACGAATGTTGTGCTCCGTGGCGAACTTCACAGCGTTGGAAATTTGAGCTTGGCTGGTGACATTTACACTGTAGCGCACGTAGTTACCCAGTGTGCAGGGCGTTGAGACTGGGTGGAATGGATCACAAACACCCTCCGCAAAGAACGGCGCCATAATTGAGGAAGACGATTCATAGCTGCCAGAAATACAGTTAGTACTGGACCTTCCGTGTTATTCTAAATGTACCGCCACATACTGCTCCTCGGGAAGTAGCCATCCATCCTTCAAGACTGCACAGGCTTCAGAGTTGTAGTTTGGCGCATGGCAAGGGGTGCCCAGAGGCACGGTCTTCACTAGGCGGCCATCGATGGTCTTGTTAAATTGAGACCAGACGGTCTCTGTGGGCCAACACTCATCACTGGGGAAGCAGCGGCATGCCGAGGCTGAAGCCTGAGGCAGAACTGCCAACAGCGAGGCGATGAAGGATGCGCGGAAAAACATGATTGATTGGCTTCATACAAATGTATCAGGCCGCGACTTAAATATGGAAACGATGACAGTCAGGGGCTTTTCGCTTAGAAGATAGAAAAACCCACACTATTGGCGGCAATATATGTTGCAGCTAATATACGCCCTAGCCCGGTTAGTTCTGGAGAGCAATGTAAATTGTTTTGTCACGGCCAACGGGAAGCCTGCCGCTCCCCACCCGGGAACCTTGGAACATTCTGCGTTCCGCAAACTCTAAGACATGCCGTTTGGAACACATAGTCCAAGGTAATTGTATATATCTTTTGCTTGAAGGATCTCGATTTCTTTTTTTCTAGACAAATCCCAAGATCATAGTCCAGTTAGCCAAGACAAAATATAATTTGGACCCTTGTCGTTTTGTGAATCTAGTGCTGCAACTTAATTACGCCCGATGCAAGCCCCCCCCCCCGCCCCACCCAGCTCGTGAAATACTATATACTCCGGACTCCGTAATAAATTAACTATTGAAAATAAGAAGACACCATCCCCTTGCAAAGTTTGCCTTGCTCGTAATGTTTAAATCATGGGCTGGGTATACAATCTTCACGAGACTGATCCAAACAGCGACATCCCACGAGTGATCGCAATCTGCTTGGTGTGCTCAACCCTAGCTTTCCTGGCCGTATGTCTGCGATTTTATGTGCGAATATCCAACAAGCGATTTCCATGGATTGATGATTATGCGGCACTGGTGAGCTTACTGTTGACACTAGCATACGTGGGGATCGCTGTGGCTCGTGAGTCGATCCATTGATCAGCGAAGCTTAGCTGCCGAACTTGGTAACCTGACAAAATATTTATTTTAGAGACTCGATGGGGCCAAGGACTGAGCGCTGCCTATTTTCCAAAGGAGAATATTATTCCTTTTAGCAAGGTGCGCATCCCGAGACCGGCCTTCGACCTCGAACCTGACATTAACATTGTTCAATCCATATAGATCCAATATGCCGGCGGCCCGATTTACTGTCTCGACGTCCTCGGGTTCAAAGTTGCTTTGCTGACCTCCTACTTGCGTATTGCGGGAATTATTGAGCAGTATCGCAAAATCATAATCACCGCCATCGTCATGTGTGTGGTTAATCAATTGACTTTCGCCTTGATCATATCAGTCTCCTGCATACCGGTCAGCGCCTCCTTCGCCAGTGCGCATCAATCGAGGGAAACGGGCTATCTGACATGAGACAGGTCGCAAAACAATGGGATGAATCTCTCGAGGGGCATTGCATTCAAACCCTACCATTCTACTTTGCGCTTGGAGGCACAAGCATCGCCTTAGACCTAATAATCATAGCACTCCCTCTGCCAGTCCTTTGGAAACTCCAGCTCCGCTCCAAACAAAAGGCCCTCCTAGCCTGCCTATTTGCTCTCGGCTTCTTCGTGACCGTGGTCCAGATCATTCGCATCTTCACCGTCAGGGACCTGAAAACCTACACCGACAGCAAGAATATCGTCATCTGGTCTTGTATCGAGGTCAGCTTGGGTGTAAGTTGGCTTTTGCTGTTTCTTCAAGTCCAAGGAAAACTAACAAATCAAAAATGTGTAGGTTATCATCGCCTGCATCCCCACGTACGGACCTCTGTTCAAGTCCTTCGCTTCTACTGTCAACTCATACCGAAACCGCGAGACTTCGCGTACTTATGCGCTTGACTCTGTTCACCAAGTCACGGGGACGGGGCTTGGGCGTAGAAAGAGCATTTTCGAGCCTATCTATGAGTCCGAGGGGCAGCAGGCCACTGTGATTCGGTCCGGGGCGAAAACGAATGATGGAGATAGCGAGGAGCATATGCTATCCGAAGCGGAGAACATGAAAGTCTATGTGACTTCGGAGTTTATAGTAAAGTCTGGCGCTGCCCTTTGATTTGGCGTTAGGTTTGGTGCTAGGGGACTTTGAGACGGGGAATTTTGAGCAAAGAGAGAATGGGAATACATGTATATCCGGTACCAAACACGCGTTTCCTCTATAGTGTTCGGATCAGATATGCACTATGGCAACATAGTCGTACATGAGTATGTTCTCTAGGTTCGTCTCATAGATATCCGGGCAAGCAAATAATATATCAAGATCTCTATTCATAGGCAATGGGCAATTTTCGAAAGTTGCCATTTGGCTCTCACAGCAATGAGATCGAAATCTATAAGCAGCTAGTATAGCTAGTAGCAAATCATCTACCGAGAAGTAAAATAATGGTGTATACAACAATGAAAAACAAAGTGGGGGAATCATATGAACAAGTATCATGAAACATGGAACGGGTTGAAAGCTTGCGCAGTTGTACCCAAAGGCACCGATGATGACAGTTCGATACCGGAGATTTGTGAGTTTTGTGAGGGAGCAGAGACAATCGGAAGATCCAGAGGGGAGGCATGGGTGCTAAAATCGGAGCAAAGATCAAGATAAACCGCAAGAAATGGCCTGCAACAGGTCTCTGATACTATACAGTGTATAGCGTTGCAATCGAATCAAGTATAAGCTTGCGGCATTTTTCATAGGGACGGGTCAGTCTTCCATGTGCCTGAGATCGAAAGGTTAGTGCGATGTCCACCTGAGACTAGATGAACGAGTGAAAGATATAGACGTACCTCCGAAATTGTGTTTCACAAAAGCCATGGGATCATCCGTATCCCCCGCACCCATTTGCCCTACACCGGGGCTGAAGCTGGTAATGGGCAATACAACCACATCCCCAACCTTGCGGTGTGTGGTCTGGTGGCTGAAGTCTTCGTAGGTGATGTTCTTATCACCCGGCTGGATATTGAAATATGCCGGGTTGTTGAAGTAGCGGAAGATAGAGTCTGTCCAGGCTCCAGGCCCCGTGAACTCCATAATAGTCTTATCCATCTTGCCAACCTTGAGGATACCTGCCTTTTTCATTCGCAGAGCATGCTCGGTAATATAAGCCACCATATCACGAAGAATTGGGTGCCCGGGTTTCGACACAAAGGTCCACTGGCAGAACTGAATTCTGCGCGAATACCAGTCTCGCCAGTCATCACGGTCAGGGTCAGCCTCGATGCCAACAATGAAGCCAATAGTCGATCGATCAAGTTCCTCGGGGAGCCACGTGTGCGCGGGCTTGAGTGCCGAAGTGTCGATATCGCTGTATATTCCCCCGCGCGCTAGAAGAACCAAGTATCGGAAGAAGTCCGCCTTCATGACGCCCAACGGCAGCGAATCATATGCCTCGAATACTTCCGGAATTGATCCATATAGGTATTTGATCAAATGTTGCTGCGTCTCATCGGGGATGACTTCATGCGTGAATCCGGGGTGCATCTCTGTCCAGCTGGCCTCCGGGCCGCGGAGATCTTCGTCGAACCAGAATGACCCGGGGTTGTATTTCCATGTTTGCCAGATATATGCGGGGAATCTGTTCTCTATGTCATATGGGAATTGATATCGGAGACGTTCACGGAGCGGCGCTGTCGGTGATGCGCCGAGAGGCAATTGGGCTCGACCTTGCGGTGGTGTTTTATGTGCTGAATTTGCTATCGCTTCCTCCTCTTCTTCTGATATCTTCTTCACTGGTCGGTACCCAGGCGCCCCAGGAACTTCAGGGTCTCGGAATGAGCGGAGGATGAGAACAAATGTGATCACGAAGAACAGGGCGAGCAGCACCTTGCGCGGGGTGATCATGACAGGCGATGGAGCCGGTGTAGTCGGAAAATAACTAGCTGATCTTGCGACAGCCGTAAATTGACTGAAAGCTAGGAATCAAGGCCACCGTGCTTTTGTGTTCCGTGATCTGCGAGATCGGAGAATTTGAATGGTCTTGGTGTGCGATTCGTTCGGCGGGTGTGACAGTCGAGCGATTCCAAATCCTAGGCTAAAGAAATTTGAGAGAGTGACATATCGTTACACGGAAGTCTTGAATGTGACCTCAATGGTCGGAGATACGGTCGACCTGGAATCAGGATAGGAGGCGCAAAAAACCCCCCCAGCAAGAATGCCCGGTTACTAGTACCACAGAACAGCAATATAGGAGAGACTGAAGCAAAAAGTAGGCCACACTGTCTGGCAGCGAGTAATTTGTCGCCTTGCTGGCCAATTCTTTGTTAGACGTCGAGTAGAACAAAAGGGTTGCGTATGCCGGAAGCAGCGTGAATAGGTGGAGCCGCTCACGTGGCCTTGGATGGAATGTAACTTGAACTATGACTGATATTGTTCGTTCTTCATTCTTCGATCTATGTGTTTTTTCATTATATATATCTACGTTGTTATAAGCAATGATCCCTCTACATCAATCACTTAATTTTGTCAGAGCATCCCCACATGGTGTTCCCTGCATCCAGAATGGGTGATGATCATCCCGAGATAAATAATTCTTGTAGCATACTAGGTCTAACACTCTCGACAACTTTTAATCTAAATACTAGATAGAATACATAGAGCTACACTATATATATAATTCAAATTATTCCGTCTCTTATCTAACATACCTGGAAGTAGTTCAACACTGACCCGGTACACCTGGGTAAGCTCCAATAGCGATACAAGCTTCACTTGGCCTGAGGTGTTAAAATGGAACCTACAGGTGTATAGTAGAGCAAAGATAATCTTCCAAGCGCTAGGGATCTTGGGGATGCTTAGTTTTCTTGGCAACGTAGCAACTGGATGATAAACAAGCACCAAAGACTTAGGCACAAAGAGCCATGTACTGCTAGCAGTTCTTGAGGACGACTACAAGAATACTCGTTATCTTGATAGGAAACTATGTACCGAATATAGCTTCCCAATTTTGGCTATTGTTGTGTCTCTTGTCTTCGCATTTCGCATTACCGGCTAGAAGATGAAAGAGGAAAGAGGAAAGAGAGGAAAGAGGATTAAAAGGTCAAAATGCCTCAAAATAGCACATGCCTTAAGAAGCTCAAATGCGGAGGATGGTATTGGAGATGCCAGTTAGAGGGTAGTTGGCCCATAGCTTCTCCTTGTATAAATATTTCTTTTCTTGGATCTTCACCTTCATCATATGGTATGACCCCAAGGAGTGAACAATAAATTTGGCGTCTTTGAACATCCTGTATTATATTATAAAGTCTGAGAACCACATATGATTAGGTTAATATATATATATTCGTTGGACATCATTCTTCCTTCTATTGCCACTAGAAACAGTAGTCAACCAGTAGTTCCTTTTTCCTCCCAACAAGTTAGAGCAATTATTTCATTTGATAGTTTTTGTGTTTACCTAACCTTGAAGGACATTATTCCTTTGTTTGTGGTGACCCATGTAGTAGATATAGCCTACAACCCCGTCATCAGGACATCTTCTACTCCATCCCCAGAAGTTCGGAGCTGACTTCAAAGCATCTACTCCTAAGAGGTGTGGGTGTTTTATAACATGATTTTATGTTAAACAAGACCCAAATCAAATCTCCGCTCCTCCCCAACGCATAAGGGGACACAGCTTGAGGACTACCTGTTTCCTGTTGGATACACCGATGAGAAGAACCGATATCTATGTTCATATCCCTGAATATTAGTAAGATAATCCACGAACCTAAGACTGTATTATCCTCGAGGCCATGTCCAATGTAGGTACACATGCCCCATACTTGGATTGTTAAAGAGCTTGGAAACCTGGAGAGTGGACTAATCTATAGAAATTGATCGACTTAATTTTGCGGGGACGCTGTACCCGTTCTGATCCACAAAAGATGAATGTTGGATGTTTTGCCTTTTAGGCCATCTAGGTGTAGTTGAGGGTAGGTCTAGCATCAAATACTTGACTTGGAAGAGTCAAGTCCTCGTTGCAACTTCATAAGGTTTATGGTACAATTCCCGTGTGCGTCTTAGCGCGACTTGAAGAGTCTAATTTTGCTTGAATTATAGCCAACAGTTGTGTCTCGGCTTATTATCCCCATTCCGCATCGTTTGGTCTATTTATCGCCCATACCGTATACGCTCCGTAGACTGCCCATTATCTCTCTTTCTCTCTCATTGTCTCTTACTAACCTCTCTACTCAATTCCAAACCTTATTGCAGTGGACAGTCTTTTACTATGGAATAGCCCAACCTTCCTGCGCTTATGAGTCTCAATCACACGAATAAGCATTTCGTGATTCAAGCCAACGGGGTATTTTTTGCCTAAGAAACCTCAGCGCCAACCCGTTTGTACTTTGCCAGCGCCACGAGAAAAAAGATGACGACTGTCATTTCAGTTGTATCTGAGAAATATGTGACTTCCTCTGTCGTCCAGTCCATCGCAGCTAGAGGGATCTCAGACGGCGACAGGGTCCAATCTTCCTTGGATGCGACAGCGGGGGTTAGTGTAGAAAAGGGAGAAAAGAGACGCTTCTTTACCCGACCATGGGGAGGACGTCAAATTGGGATGCTCTGTGTGCTGGGGTTCTTTGGACTAGCCCTGACAGCACTTGTCATTGCTCTCCCCGTTTATTTCACCAAGATCTACGGCTTTGCAAAAGACACTGATGACTATTGGAAAATACCTCAACCAAATGAAGACCACAGTTACCACCTCGAGGAGAACCGACCTATGTTCGCCCTCCACAATTTCCCGGACCCGGGGCTCATTCAACACAATGGCACATGGTATGCCTACGGAACCAATCCCAGGAAAAAGAGCCCAGACGGTATCCATGTACCTGTTGCTACATCGACCGATTTTGTCAACTGGACTCTACATGAGGGTTACGACGCGATGCCGACTCTTGGTGCTTGGGAGAAGAAAGTCAACCATTGGGCCCCAGATGCAATACAACGGGCAAGTATACTCATGAGCACCCTCTCATTTAGTCCCTCATATTCACATCGAAATTCTAGGATGATGGTAAATTCGTCATGTATTACTCGGGAGAGGCCAAGAATTACGGCAGCCACCATTGCGTGGGAGTTGCCGTATCAAACAGCACAAGTCCACTAGGCCCTTACATCCCGAAAGACAAGCCACTAGCCTGTCCCCACAAGCATGGCGGTGCCATCGATCCATCACCATTCAGAGACACCGACGGCACGCTGTACGTAGTCTACAAGGGCGACGGAAACAGCATTGGACACGGCGGCAACTGCGGCAATAGCAAGAAGCCAGTTGTATCTGTTCCGATTCTTCTGCAGGAGTTGGAGAGTGATGGCGTCACACCTATCGGAGAGGCAGTACAAATCCTCGATATTGACGATACTGATGGCCCCCTTGTCGAAGCTCCTGATATCATGCTCACCGAGGACGGTACATACTATTTGTTCTTCTCGTCACATTGCTATACCTCACTGGGCTATAATGTGAAATACGCACACTCGAAATCCCTCAAGGGTCCGTACCTCAGGGCTGATCGGCCTTTGCTGCAGACTGGGGATTGGGGTCTCGAGGCGCCTGGTGGTGCGACGGTTTCGACCAATGGGAGAAATATTGTTTTCCATGCCAATTGCGGTCAGTTCCGGTGTATGTGGTCTGCTGCTCTCGATATTCGGTCTAATAACAATACGATTGTTATGTCGACGCTTGTGGTTGACCAACAGTCGGATTCTACAATATCCACGGAACGCTTGTGAGACGAATCGGAAACAGGCAGATTGCTATACCGTTTAGCAACGATTTGCTGTAACTTATTCTTCATATCTTTCATCTTGGACTAGTGTTGCATATAGCGCTCGGCGTTTTGGATTTCCCCATTTTTAGAGTCATTGTTTGATACGTGCATACCAGTTTTTGTTAGAACCCGCTGGTGACCTCAGTTATATATGAGAGTGAGTTTTTAGATTGTCTGATAAAACTTTGCAAATAATATCTGCCGTATGTTGTACATTCCGAGGTATACTTCAACGCTGACTCTCCGCCAATCACAGATGTCCGTGATGACGCCACTGAATAGTGCCTGAGGTATCCACATATTCTCCCCCCGATAGCTTTTGATTTGGGAAGCTTTCTTTCCTGACTCTCACAGATCCTAGGCTTTTATAATGCAATCATTTCGAGGCGCTGCTCGCGCGGCTTCACGCACAATTCAAACCCAGCGATGGCGACAAGGGAACTCCTTCGCGAAGTCCGCAGGACCGCATCGGACTTTATCGGCGCAATGGAAGACCGCACGCCCATTGCATACCGTGTCACCGCGGAAATCAGCAGCACTCGCCGCGGAGTCGAATGAGAGAGCATCCAACCCAGCCATGTCGTTCCCCTGTCTCGACGCCCAAGAAGAAAAGTCAGCGCAGCTCTCTGCTCGGTCGCTAGAATCCGGACCCGAACCTTCATACACAACCGGGCGACACGAGTCATACCACTGTGAACAACCACTTCTGCTGGACTGGGGTGGTGTGCTCACAGAATTTGACGTTGCCTACGAAACATGGGGGCAATTGAACAGCGACAAGAGCAATGCCATCCTCCTGCATACCGGCTTGTCCGCTTCAAGCCACGCCCATAGCACAGCCTCCAACCCAAAGCCCGGCTGGTGGGAGAAGTTTATTGGCCCCGGATTGCCACTGGATACCGATAAATACCATATCATTTGCACTAATGTTCTCGGAGGATGTTACGGCAGCACAGGCCCGTCTTCCCTCGATCCATCCGACGGAAAGCGGTACGCAACCCGCTTCCCGATCCTGACTTTGGACGACATGGTGCGCGCTCAATTCCGGCTTCTTGACGGCCTAGGGATCAAGAAACTGGCTGCCTCTGTCGGATCTAGCATGGGTGGCATGCAGAGTCTCGCCGCCGGCGTCCTCTTCCCAGAGCGGGTCAACAAGATCGTCAGTATCAGTGGTTGCGCCCGCAGCCACCCTTACAGTATAGCGATGCGGCACACGCAGCGTCAAGTGCTGATGATGGATCCCAACTGGGCCCGTGGGTTCTACTACGATGGAATCCCGCCCCACTCTGGTATGAAGCTAGCGCGTGAGATTGCAACCGTGACGTACCGCAGCGGGCCAGAGTGGGAGAAGCGATTTGGTCGCCAGCGTGCAGACCCCAGCAAACAGCCCGCTCTATGTCCTGACTTCCTTATCGAGACGTACCTCGACCATGCTGGTGAGAAGTTTAGCCTCGAGTACGATCCCAACAGTCTTCTTTATGTCTCCAAGGCTATGGACTTGTTCGATCTCGGCCATGCTCATCAGACCGCGACTCTTCAACGCCGTGCGGAGTCTGAGGATCGCATTGCGCACGGCGGTGATGCACGAAATGCCTCGGACCTCGCTTGCAGTTTGACCCTTCCAGACAAGCCCTATGAGGAGCAGCCTGGATCATCTCCCAAGACCCCGTTGGACGAGTCTGTCTCTGCTGAGTCAGTGGATGGTCCTCCCCGGGATCTTGTTGCCGGACTTGCGCCTCTCAAGAATCACCCTGTGCTTGTCATGGGGGTTGCAAGTGACATCCTCTTCCCAGCGTGGCAGCAGCGGGAGATCGCTGAGACACTTCGTGCGGGGGGCAACAAGAATGTTGAACATATCGAGCTTGGTGACGACTTGTCGCTCTTCGGTCATGACACTTTCTTGCTGGATCTGAAGAATATCGGTGGTGCACTGGGCAAGTTCCTGCGCTAGTCGCGTAACTTCTTACGTCCCGAGGCGATGCAAAATAATATAAATAAGTACATTCGTCGATAAGCGTGCGACTTTTGGCATTTAGCAGGCGTTTTACATGTGCGAAATGACATACCTCTTCTCTGTTTATATATGCAGTACAAAGGGATCAATGGATACCCCTAGCCAGTCTACAAGTAGCTATGGTATGAAAAAGGAACAGAAATATTAATGCATTATTTTATTTGATGCTATCAAGATACTATATATATGGTAATGCCACAAAAATAAAAAGAAACTCGCCCTCAGGTTGCTCTCAGTTTTCATCAATGGCTTCCAGCTGTGTACACGGTCCACAGACACGAGGTGTCATGAATGGAGCCGTTGTCAAGCGGATGCCTGCAGAATTGGCTTATATTCGTCTCTAAGACGAACTCATCACAGGGCGAGAAGGAGAAAAGAACCAAATGAGATAAACCACAAAGCCCACGAACCTAGAATGCCAGCACGTCCATAAAAGAACAGAAGAGCAAATGCAAAATCAAGTCCCCGAGCGAAAGTCAAGATATTTGGTAAAAATGTCCCCAATATTTTACAAACTAGGAGGGCCTAGAATGTGTTGTATAAAGACTGAGAAGAAAGATAACGCCAACCAATTTTACGAGCCCATAAGACGAATACCGAAAACAAACCGATTCACAAGACATACCAGGAAACCTCAGAACATCATTGAGAGTCGGATGGTTATTGTCGATTAAAGTCAGTCACCCACTCGAGACATCACCTGAGTGAATGTACACTTATCCCCAGAGCTTGAAGGTGGTCAAAAGTGAAGGAGAAGAGAAGAAGAAAAGTGGCAGAGGGCAAGTAGTTATATTTGGGGGATCAGGGCGGCCGCAGATTCCACAACGGGAAGATACGTTTGTTCATTTGCAAGAAATGCTACTCCGCTGGAGAATACACATGGGCACGCCTCAGCGCATCGGATCATGGGTGGCTCTCTTCAATAGGGGAGAACAAGCAACCGCATCTGATATTCACCTATTCATCGTAGTGATAGGACGATAGGTTCTCAAATGTCTTTCCCAAGAAGGCAGTTGCTTATCGTCTGAAACTTGCTAGAGGGTATGCGGCTAAATCTTGGGATTAGCAGGTGTTGTAGACGCGTGTTGGTAGCCGCATGAAACAAGTGTTGCCCTTTGGCTATTGTCCCCACCAACTCGGCATTGATGTCATCTTGGAAACAGCACGCAGCCATGCCATTTCATCAATGGCTGAAAAAAATACAAAGCTGAGCTTGATATGTGCTCTATTGGGGATATAAAATGGACAAGCAGCAGACGTCGCTTTTAAGTCAAGGGGATTAAAGATTCTTCCGTTCCGGTTGTCAAATTTGGCCCAAATCGTCTGCCGTAGTGGGTCTGGCTACGAAGACGATTATAAGAACCTGGCCTTATCCCCTAGTTGCCCAGCTAGTAGTCATCTAGAATTCACTTCTCCAAGCTTTTTGTAAACAGCATGTTGGCTTAGTTAGTATTGAATCAATTTAACTTCGACCCTTCACAGAATTCGTCCAGACATCCACGCTGACCTGCACTCTCCCGACCTTCTCTAGAGAGAAATACTTCCTTTCATTGTTGAGCTCTTGCTGAGCTCTTTAAAAGAAGAAAAGAAGGATTCGACATGCCTTTATATAGTAACAGGGTGTTATCAGAGAGCGGTGACAACACAGACAATAACTTGAAATTGATACAGTATATCTTGGCCATTGTCTATTAGATCAGTGTTCAAATGGGAATTTGAAAGCAAAGTCGACCTCGTCCAAGACATCTCTTCCGTTATCTCCTACTGCCCTGCCAGTAAACATATATTTCGAGTACTGAGTTTCCCGTTGAGGTTGATAAGTTTGAAGATTCACGCTTGTCATCCCAGCCCACCTCTGAATGTCTTTGCCATCTGGAAGCTGAATTAGAGGATCGAATAACCTGTCACAAATCTACCGACATTTCACGCTGAAGTCGATGTGGGGGGATTATGACGACCCATATCTTGGGCGGTGGTATGATTCCTCCCAAGGTTTCCGCAATCCAGCTATTCCAGTAGATCGCCGGAAACTGAATTCTTTCCATTAAGTCTGGAATATCGTGGCCAAGCATCATGATTCGACAACCTTGCTGGATGAAGGGTTCGAAAAATGTCAGGGAAGGATTTAGGTCCCTGAGAGGATTCAAATATTTGTGGGTATAAAGAAACTGTTCCTTGATTCCGAGAAAATGTACCACCAGGGAGATTTCCGTAGCTGTCCGCCCACCTAACAGTATGTTTGAGAGCTCATGGTAGTGGCTGTTTGTTATAATCAACTCGAATATATAGGCGAGTTTATTGCCGCCATTTCGGGGTATTGATTTCAATTTCATTTCTGCAGTCTGCAGATGGAGGATTCTGTCCAACCTTCTGGGTGTTTTGGAGAGTCGATTACTTTGTAGGTGACTGAAGAAACTTTGAAACCTATATATACATATAACCTGATGTCGTAAGTCGGGGATCTTTGCTCGAGATACAGCGAAGTTAGCCAAGTCCCAGTCTACGCGAGGGACAGCGCTACGAATAGGAGGAGGTGCTAAGGGTCCCTAGTATTCAATACGGCTAACCTTTTCTAAATTGAGGTATTATATGATCTAAAATCGAGTAGGCATTAGCGATTATGTTGCCTGAAGTTATTTAAATTCTGTATCGGCCGGAAAACGTTAAGAGAGAGTAGGCACGAGTTGGCCGAGTGGTTGCGGGCTTTCACAGAAGTCTTTGTCAGTTACGAGATGCATAGAAACCTCAGAAAACATACTTATATGCGACGATAAGCTTAAGAATACCCATCCGAGCATCGGCCTGAATTGCTCGGGCCACCGAGGATTCTTGCAATAAAGTATGTGTTGATCCTTGCAAAGGAACGAGAGAGATATCCTGGAGTGTACAGCGGGCGATAGCCACATAATGTCTGTGCCTGTGTCAGATCATTTTGCTTTGGCTATGTTGACACACTTACAGAGGCTCCCCTGTTGGAGAAAATAACTGCCAATCAACATAAAATTCGTAACTCAAGTCCGCCAAAATCCCGGAGGGACTCGGGTCCACATCGACGATTTGCCTGATTGACATCGCTGGTAGAACTAAACGCGAGTGAGCCATCGAAGAGCACGGGTTGAAGATCATGCATATCTCCGGCACGTTCTTAAAGGGTTTGTCCTAGAGTATCTCCTACCTCACTCACGACCCTCCAAAGTCTCATTCAAAGGCACATTCCGGCATGTTTTTTGATGTTGGAAAGTATCGAGGATCTTAGCAAGGGTTCTCAGGTACTCTGATGAGCTCTGAAGACGACGAACAATACGTGCTTCTATCTCTAAGGTGACTCTCGTGGAATTTTCCAATAACTTCCCACGTAGCAGATGGTCAAAAAGTATAATCTTGACTTTGTATCGTCAGCTTTCGGGATCCAGTAGTAGGAAATATCTTACCCTCTTTTAACATGTGCCGAGGATTCTTCCAAGTTACACCCTCCGGCCACCATGCTGGTTCTACAACACCAGAGTAGTTCAATTCTAGCTCAAATAGCCTAATCCAGCTATATGCCAAATCTCCACAAATGTCGGAGGTGAATTTGTTGAGCCAGTCTTTGTAAGATGTGGCTGGAGAGCTCTCGTTTGGGGAGGGTTGAGGCACTGCCGTTTCAGCAAGGTCTTGCTGAGACTGGCTATATGCGACGGAGACATAATCCTCATGAAGGTGGTGATTATGTGGCAACATCTGGCAGTTTATCTTGTCTGTATTAGGAAGCGTTTTCAAAGAGCGAGAACTGAAAATGAAACTTCCGTAAACGAGTACTTATAACTTGCGATTTCGATTGCTCGATTTGACCCTCTCGCGATGGAGACAGTACTGTTGCTTCTAGTCTCTAAGACATTTGCGTGGTCGGACCAAGCTAGGACGACCGAGAAATCGCGGCCTGAAGTGCTGCCACCTTGCGCTCCAGTTCCTTCAGGCGACGGTTATTCACTTGGTCCTCCCGCTGCAGTTGTGTCAGTTCATTACGAAGATTACCGTTATCATTTGCTTCTGACAAGTTTTTGGTTGCATCAGGTAAACAGTTATGGCGAACACCCATGGTAATCCAGGGATTAGCTAGCACAGAGGAACCGCAGCTGACGTCGTCAATGTGTCGATGCTGACGGCGCAGGTGTTCTCAGAAGTTTTTCCGTCTCGTAAATCCGTTCCCAGAACTGCGATTGCAGTCCTCCTGGAGACACAAAATCGGGGCTATCGCGTTGGTGTATTTTTGTGGACCTCACGCTGATGGCGTAAGAGACCACTGGGGGATGTGAAGCCTTGTATCATGTTGCAGCCAGGCTCATTGAACACGTAAGGACGGTCATGTTTATCCATATGTTTACTACAGAAAATCGAAGTTAGCATCAGAAATTTGTCAGACAGCGATAGAATGATATCCTGGGAACAGTGCGGGTGCGTCGACTGGACGTGCTCTGACGCTTGCCGTTCATATTACTTCCTGTTCACTGAGCCATCACTAATCACTTACTCAGTAGATATTCAATATAGTTAGTTATCTATTGAGCATCTAGTCGACGCTTAGCCTATACCTAAAGGGGCGCTTTGCCCCACAGTTCTGTTTATATTCTAACCTAACGTTTTAATAGACCTCAGTTTTCACCATGCCCGTGTTTTTTAAGGTGCTCGATCCTCCAATCTCTTTCTCCTCTCAAAATATAACGAACTAGGGCACGATAACACAAAAATGGAGGGCTTAGGCCGTCTGCCAAGCACCTCCGTGGAAAAAAAGCGTTCCGCTCTTATCAGACACTAAGATCTGTGCTTAAGTCGTGAAGTACAAATTGCAGCCATATCCCCTTCTTTCTTATTTCAACCTAGAGCACAAATTTTCTTATCCTTTACTTTAATCTCCACTTCCATTTATTCGTTCTGGCGTTTTTTCGGGATACTTTCAGCCATAGGTCAAAAGACCTTCTTTACTCAATAAGATGAGGCCGCCAAGCAATTAGCAAAGAGCAGCTATGTTTTTAGCGCTCATGTGGAGTAGGTTACTGTCAGATTTAGACATTATGCATGGATCCTTAGGCGTACACGGAAGCGATCGTGCACGGTTAGAGTAGAAGGTCGTACGATCTAATCATAAATCCACAATTTTAGAGGACTGATTATCCACGATAGAGCAGGGGCCAGAAGTATTAGACAAAAAGGTTGAACAGTGGCAGGTCAACGCAGTATGGTCAGGTAGGCCTAGAAGCTCTGGTCATGAATATGAAAGATGTCACACTTGTTTCATTAAACTATAGAAAGCAGGCAGTATTTATAACGAGAGGTACATAGCAGAATGTAACAGGAAAAGCTGATGAAAACCCGAAATAATCAAGGAGAAATACAGAGTGTTCTACCACTTATTACGCCTAGCTACGACAGGAGAAGATCAACCAACGCAGGAGCATTTAACGAGATGACTAAGCATGAGGAAAGAAGGAGAGACGCAGGAAGAAGATCTGAATACACAAAGGGAGACAAAGGTAGTCAGCATAGATAGATGCCCTATGGACAAGGCATCAATCCTGTAGATCGTCACATTCACTTAAAGCATGTACATAGTATCAAGGCTTCTATCTCCTTCCATGTTATTCGTAGTAGCACCTTCAGCGAGAAGCTTCGCCTTCTTCATGTTTCTGCGCCTAAGCATAAACCAGCTTGCCGTATAAAGAAACGCAGCAATGCACGTTAAACCAGCGGAGACTGCATTGCCCTGGACATACCGAGGCTTTTGTGTGCTAGGGTATAGCTGTGATGATACCATTGAAGATATATCGGCCATCGTAAATACTATGGGCATCGCAATCGCACGCTTGGAATCAGGGGCAAAGGTATTGGTCGCCCAAGTAACAGCAAGCGTGGAAATTGGATAGAGGCCTAGATGAGGGATTAGATATAGGCTAACCCGTGATCAAACATGTCTGGCGATTGCTTACCAACTACGAGAATAAACATTCCTGCGTATCCTGCACCGGGACTTGCTGTTCCCACACAAATCAAGTAGCCGACTGCAACCGGAACACAGCAGCCGATGATAAATATGCTTCGTCGTTTGAGCTGATCAGAGAAGTAGACCTGGATCACAAGAGAGATGGCACCAAAGATATAGACTGGGATGGTGAGGTAGTTAGCCTGAAGGGAGGTATATCTAATCAATCAGTCAGTGTGTTGCGCGAGTTTCCTGTGTATCCTGGGTAGGTGGTTACCCGAGGCCATTGATGATAGAAGGCAGGAAAACATTGAAGCCGTTGATTGCGACGGATGAAGTGAAGAAGGCCGTGCCCAGGAGATAGACAAAGGGATCCATCAGTGATTCCTTAGCCCACTTCCACTCAAATTTTGATCCACCCCGAAGTAAGTAGTCTCTCTTCTTCTTCTGACGCATGGTTTCTTTCTCTTCTTCGGTCAGATACCATGCCGTTTCAGCTGATTTTGGGATAAAGATCCACCCGATTCCACCGATGAAGATGGTAACGCAGAACTCGACGATGAATAGCCATCTCCAAGCGGCAAGGCCTCTTTTGGTCCCCATAGTCTGAATAGCATAGGCAAAAAGACCACCAAAAGCGCCAGAAATGCACTGGGCGAGGTTTGTCGTCATGATACGTTTCCCTGCCTCTTCTGGGGGGTAAATGGTGGAATAAAGAAAGGCAAATCCAGGAGACAAGCCACTTTCACAGGCACATAGAATCATACGGACGGCGATGGCCTGACCATATGTGTGGATAAAGGCGGTTCCGAGGGTACAGATACTCCACAGTAGAAATGCAGTGCCCAGTGCCTTCCTAGCTCCAAAGCGTCGAACAGCTAGGGTCCAAGGGAGCTCGCCCGCGAAACTACAAAAGCTGGACAGAGTTTGAATGTTATTGAATTGGTTGCCCACGAGGCCCAAGTCTCTAGAAAATCCGAAGACCACTGCATTTCCGATCTAGTCAACAGTTAGAGGTGAGGTGATTCTCTCGACGCCAAGAGATATGCGTACATTGTTTCGGTCCAAGGCGGAAAGAATGATAAATATAAGGGAGGCAGGTACGAGATATTTGTCGAATTTCCTTCGAGCGGAAGCCTCTTTCTCTGGATCAAGGTAAATAGACGACCCGGTTTCGGTGGACTGAGTCTCGATTCCGACCTCGGTGTCAACAACTGCGGTCTTTGTGTCTTCTGCTTTTCTCTCAAAGTCCATCGAGGTGGCTTTGACTAGGGACAGCTCTGCGGTAAAGTGGTATCAAAAATGCTCAAACTAGTTGCGGCCCGAAGAAAAAGATCATCGTTAACGTCGTCGAGTCGCCAGGCTATATACTTCATCCCCGGATACCTCACCAGCTTGACAGCGACGCGCAGAAGGCAATGCTTGTCGAATGGCCTCTATAATTGTCAAGATAAGACCTTGATCTTGATCTACTATCGCTTTCTTTTTCTCCCCTCCCGGAAGAAACCTAATTAGCTCTGGTATCTAATCCGGGTCTTCTTGGCGTATAATGATATCGGACAAATCCGATCTTATCGTAAACACCCTGCGGGTAGATAAAAGCCCATGGCAGCGAATTACTTCAACGTGAAGCGGGCCGTATCGGATTTTTCCGAAGATAAGCCTTTCTATTATAACCTTCGACATTCCTCACGTTATTTCCGTATCAGTCATTGACCGTGTAGTCCATATAGTCGTTAATGGATTCATCATTGCCTTTAGGTCAAAGGCTCGCGAAAGGAGCGACCGCATGTCTGAGGTGAGCCCCATAAGGTCTCGAAATATCGTTGTTACGGTGGGGCCATGAATTGAAGCTCACTCGACTCTCGTAGATGTCGCCGGAGAAAGCAGAAGGTAGACAATATGTTTCTTCTCCAGCATATTGCTTGTTTCTGACAATGTGGTGAATACGCAGTGCGATCTGAGGTTTCCAAGTTGCTCTAATTGCGACGGTGCAGGCGCGCAGTGCCTGACTTATCACTCTAGGAAACATCACGAAGTAAGTGAATTATAGTCGCAAACCTATTGCAATTAAGTAACATTTTTGGAGGTTCCTCGTAACTACGTGTCAGAGTTAGAGACAGAGATTGAAAAGTTAATCCGCGAGAATCGAGAGCTGAGAGCCAAAGCCCAATCGACTTCAGTCAATGGGGAAAGAACCACTCCTCATGAACACTGCTCCCCGGATCGTGTTGGTCCAAGCAGCCATTCAACAGGAAGTCCGGCCAAGTCTGATACAAGCTCGAACCACGTTCAAGACTTGGTAAGGGGTGTCAGGGATATTGTTGACGAGCCGTCAAGACAGCCACGATTCTTGGGACAGAGCGGCGGCATCACCCTCGCCAGATTGGTTGTGTCAGCGATCCGTGTGGACGCTCTGCCTTCATCCCTATTTGCTGAGCCACGCTCGTATAAACCATTTCCGTCCTCAATGGCAGCAGAGGCTTCTCTTCCACCACGCCATGCCGCAGATCATCTGGTAGATGTCTACTTCCAGTACCACACGCCCCACCTACCCGTTGTGGAGCGCTCGAGGGTCGAAGAGGCCCTGGAGAGCGCATACCAGGCCATGAGTGGCCAGCAGCCCCCAGATCGCGCTGTAGAAAGAGATATTTTCCTTAGTTTTATGGTTCTCGCCATCGCCCTCTGCGATGTTTCAAACCTAGCTGGAGGTCGACCAAGTCAGAGCGAGGGATGCTTCAGGTCAGCCATGAGCTGGTATGAAAAGGCCGTCGCGAGCTCGACAAGTGATATTGAGACCCTTCGAACTATCCTCCTTTTGGCCCAATTCATTGCATTGTGCCCTTCTCGGGGAAGTCTATGGCAATTGACTGGTATCGCCTTACGCTTATGCATTGACATTGGCTTGCATTGGGAAACTGAGGATCATATCGCGAATATTGACCCGTCAATATTGTATGACCGCAGACGTCTGTGGTACTCTACGTACCAGTTCGACCGTATCTTGTGCATCACTCTCGGTCGCCCTCTTGGTATCATTGATGAAAGTATACGTGTCCCACTTCCCAATCCATGGGCCGTCTACCGAGGAACCTCTACCAGTAAATCCATCGAAATGGACATCCACAGCCAACAAGCTCATAACCACATGTTTGCTTTGTCAAGACTCGAGTCTGAGATAAAACATGTGCAGCATAGCCAAACTTGGGCTTCGAAACCGGGCTACCCCAGAGCCAACTATGCGGTCTGGCTTCAGGATATCCAACCTCGCCTTGAAGAATGGTACGCTACTATTCCACAGACCAACAGGGCTCACCCATCCTCCATATTCGCGTACCAAGCGTATTGGGATTATATCTACAACAATGCAATTCTGTTGCTGCATCGGCCCAACTCAATAGGCTTGCCAACGTCTTCAGAAGCAAGGGTCCTCTCTTTTCACGCCGCTTGTCGACTTATTGAAAGTATCAAAACCTTACAGCGAGAGGGGAAGGTTCATATACTCTGGAAATCTAGCCATGACCTGTTCATGGCCGGTCTTGGAATTATACATAGCCTTTGGGAGTCCAAAGTAGTTCGAGAGCAGAGTTCTGTCGGGAGATGCATTTCTATATTACAATCCTGCACCTCAACGCTCTCTGCACTGGCCGAGAGTTTTACAGGAGTTGCAGGCTGTCGTGACGCGTTTGATACTCTTTCATCAGTGACAGTTGACTGGCTAGTTGGTGATAACGTGGTCGGAGAACAAGATGATCGTCAGAGGTTTGAAAAACAAGCAGAGAACCTCCTGCAGCAATTGCAGCCGGCTCGTGGAGCAAATGAACATACCGAGATTGACATCTCAGGCTTTTTGTCTACTGGTAACTTTCTATTTAGCGAGATGCTCAGCAGTGCTGCCCAATGGCCTGATCAAGAAGACAGGAGAATTACTGACATGGGCTCTGACCCAATGTTCCGAGGGGAGTCTCAGATGTTCTACTGATTTGTCTTAGGCTGAAAGGTTATCTGAAGGGAAGGCTGTGAATCTCACGGATATTCAACACACAGTATTTTCATTCTTTGGCGGCTTAATACTTTGGGCTCAAGAATGAATTTGCAGTAAAATGCACGACTAGTTTCATAGTATACCTAAAAATCTCTGAATTGAAGAATTTCGGACTATTAGTTCCATTATGGCAGTATGGTTTAGTAGCATGAAACTACTCAGAGATGCTATTGGAATTGATGGAGCTGTCAACCTTTCTATTGACGCATGTACGCCTTGCCTGGCTTGAAGCATCGTAAATCTGGCTTCTCATTAAGTTCAGGCCGTGTTTACTTATATTGCTCGGCGTCCGATGAAAACTAACCTTTATCCAGACCCACTTATAATTGCAACCCTCTTAGTGAGATATTATACAGGTCCTACCCTCAGAATCAAAGGAAATTATACTAGAGGAGCCCCGAAGTATCAAAATTGTGTCACGGCAAAATTACTAGTCTATCTGTAGTTGAGATATGTTCTATGAGTGAAATGATTTACTTGATCTAATGAAATCAAATTTTATTCTCAATCAAACAGTACCTACTCTCCAATTTCAATTCATGTCGCAGCATTCTAGACACAGAGAATCCCAACAGGCAGATTATAATTCGGTCTAGTGTACGGCTCAGGATTTTGTCACAGCCTGGGCAGCGGCTGAGGGCGCGTCGTCGACAAGGTCCTCATACGGGATTGGTTCTGTGATGAGGCGCGCATCGCACAGTCCGAGCTGCCAGCGTTTGTAACCCTCGCGAGGTACAGAAGTGGTCGTCCACATGCCACTTTGACGGAAGGAGTTCGTGACTTTCACCACGACGTCGATTGGAACATTTGGGAAAAGCTCGGCGAGTTCGTTCTGGAAAGATTCTGCCTCGTGCTGGAGGACCCAGTCTATGCCTTTCTGAAGGGCGATGCAGAATCGCTTTTGAGAATCGAGGATTTCAGTAGTAATTGTGGCAGTTTCCCGATAGTAAACGCTCCAGGGGATGTCACCTTGCGTGACCATCTGCATTGCAATAGTCACATCGGGGTTACGTGCGACTATTGCCTGAGCAGAAAGATTATCAGTGACAAAATAATCGCCCATGCCGCCTTGGAATAAGTCACCCAGCATTACACCGTCGAGATCTTGTATGTAGTCAACAGATCTCGCATCGATGCCGTTCTCGCGAAGAAGCATCTTGAAGAAGAGGCCAACACTGGCCCCGCCACCGGACTTCATCAGGACAGTTCGCCCCGCCACGTCTTCGAGCTTGAAGTCCTTATCTTCGGTACGTCGGATCAAGGCAAGAGGCGACCGGTTTGCAATCTGCCCGAATACGGTGTAGTTTTGTACCCTTTTGCGGTACATCGATGGCACCCAAATTCCCCCAAGGCACATTATGGCAGAACCGTTGGCAAGTTCGTCGAGCACACCGTCCCATGGAACGGGAATGTTGACTGTTACGTCCAGTCCCTGTTCTTTGAAGAAGCCATGTCGACGAGCAATGTATTCCGGGAGATAGTTGAGGTTGTAACCAGTGGCGGTAAGGTGAAATTGTTGCATGTTTGGGCTTGTAAAGCGCTAGACGACGGATTTAAATGGAAAGTGCAGCCCAAATCAGGGTATGGTTATGGAAGACCGGATACACCGAGATTTGGCGGAATAACCGAATGATTGAGAAACAGAGACACGCAGAATCGAATTGTCAAAATCTGTACTGAAAAACGAAATAATTATTGAGGAGCGAACTCACTTATATAGCTATTAGGTTTTTCAGTTTTGAAGCTAATTTTATTGAACAGTCTCTTTATCGAGAACTCACGATGCCGAGTTTCTACAGGTTTCGGAGGATCCCGACTGTCGATTTGGGAGAATCCCGATTAGATTAGTTTCCACTGCAGGGCGCGACTTTGCATGTCTCTATTTCGCATGATAATGACTACTCGATTCCAATTCCGTTACGAAGTCCCAGCGGGTGTTTGAGCCTTCGGTCGAACTTTTGGATTTATCTTGGGTTTAAACGATCTCGAAATGTTGATGGAAGCTCCTTCTAGAGGACGCAATGATTGCAATCCAAAGCCGAGGATAATTAATACACAAATAAATGGCCAACATAAAATTATATAATTGACGCAAAATAACTAGAGCTTTCTCATCCTATGTGATTACTGAAAATCATGAATTCCCATCACTCTCAGCGCATCTCTGCAAAATTGAGCTTGCATAATTGTGCACTGCGTGCTGCTGCAGTTGACTAAGCGTTGCTCGATTTTGGCTGAGCTTTACTAAGTTTTGCTCACACAAATTTCCGGAACTGCTTACAGAGATAAGAACCAAAAGCGACAGTCGTGAAGGATCTATATTATAGATATTGGTGGCCATGGATCAGATCCTACATGTCTACCTGAAAGGTACCATCGTGCTAAGTCGGCACGACGGCTGAGGTGTCACTCCAGCCTTGGATACCTTGTAAAATTTTCAGAGTGATGGTATCGAACTAATAGAGAATTCTAGAGAGACTTTACGCAAGTTTTATGTGCACCTGGCATCACACATGGCTCATTTACAGAGTTAGAAACTACGAAGCTCACTAATAGCCATTCTGCCATCCGAACATTGACTTCTAAAGAGATTCTGGAGATATTATAAATACGAATGCAGTGCATATCACTCATCATTAAAATTCGACAATGACCCAATGACCCATTGATAGAATTCTGGAGCCCAGTGCAGTTATTTGAGCACCGAAGCACGAGCCTTCGCTCGCCGATCACGCATCTCGCCCGCACAGGCATCTCTGTTGTAGATGCTATTTACAGACGGATGATTCATGATTGCCTGTGCCCACGCGTGGAATTTTGGCGCATTCTCTGCTAGACCGGCTATCATGGATTTTGGCAGTGGTGCGTCTTCGGTGAAAGGTAACGTGAAAATCCGCACGATAAAAGAGGCTGTTAGGACCTGCAAATCGTCTCAGCCACTCTGAATCTCAGGTACAGTGATAAGAGAAACAAAATGGTATCTTCAAATTCAATATAGCATACTCACCTCGGCCATAGTCAGCTTGTCGCTGCCATCAAAGAACGGGTTTGCGGTCCGCAAGAGAGGCTCGACATCTTTGACGACGGCATCAAAATAACGCTTGCCCAGGTCCTTAGCGTCTTGATCAGTTTTGGCTTCGATTGCCCGGTAGTAGTATACATTGGCTTGTGAAAAATAAGTTTCGACGAAGAAACTGATCCTTTCACGCACAATGGCCCCTTGGGCATCTCCAGTCCTTGGAGTCAAGTGGGTGGATGCCACTGAGTCAGCCAGAAACTGTGCCATGATAGCCGACTCAAGAATGACATGGCCGTTGTATATCATTGAGGGCACCTTTCCACTCGGATTGATCTCGAGATACTCGGGCGTTCTCGGTTTACTGTAGTCGATAACCTCCTCCTCGAATGGAAGAGCCAATTCCGCCAGCGCAATATGGACACGGTGTGCCCCTAATCGATTTTGTCAGCGCTTCATCATTTTTAAATGCATTAATTCAATCAAGCTGGATTTCGAGGACGTACATGGACAGTTTCGGTTGGTATAGAGTTTAATGGACCCTGTGGAAGCCATAGTTATGTTTTTGGTGTTGGTGGCTCACAAACTACGAGGTAAGGGTTCAAGGCTGACTTCAATGACGAGCGAGGTACATTAAAAGAGCCAGAGGCTGGGAATTCGAGATTTAAATAACCACATTTACAGCATTGGTCCCCCAGAACCCGAGTATCTAGGATCAAATCGCTGTTCTCCGAGAAGTCTGTGTCTGTGCGTAATAACACCTATCCGCAGATCATATCCAAATTTGTATCGGCAACTTCCGATAAGCTCCTTCACTGTTTGTCCTGAATGAGACGAAGAAACGAACTAATGGTTCGTTAAGCTTGATATCATTATTTAATCCTTATCCCTTGAATTCACCAATTGTGTTAAGTTCCTTCATTTCCAAGCCCATAATTATCCTCTATTATCCCTTCCAGTTACTCAGTTTCATCTTGTTATCTCAACAATGGCCGAATCTTCGGAACTGTCTCATGAACCGGAATGGAAAGATGACGATCCATGGAAAGCTCTGCCCAAGTACTGTTGAGAAGCTCCGTTGACAGAGGCCCAAGGATGAAAACCGGCGTCGAGGAGAAATTGAGGCTAAGTGGAGAGAACAAAAGTCCGGATAACGTTCTACAGCCGGGGTAATGATGCCTATGCCACCGCAACCAAAAGGGAGCCGCGACTACATAGCCATGCACAAAAATCGGAAATGGCTCAATGACTATGAGCGGTAACGACCCAAGTTAACGAAGGAGGATTCGGCGTTCCTGAATCGGTTCCCTCCAGAATTCAAACGTTGGCCTACTATGTTCTTTGAACGGTATCCAGGTCTGAGGCCCACCAGAAACCCGCATCACTATTACTACGGGTATCGGGAAGGTTATCTTTTAACCTGGGATAAGGACCATTACGACGACTACTGGATTCATCAGGCTATGGCCACCCCCGGAAATTCATGGAAGGAGAGTAGAATTCAGGAAGGCCATAGAGCAGCTAGAAGATACAGGAGGGGAAGTGACGGGAAACCTATTGACTACAAAGGAGGTGAAAGCCATCCCCATACCAGTTGTCAGGAGGAAGCGGGATCAAATTATAGAATATCGGGATATTCAAGAACGAGACCCTAATCCACGTCTTGTTTCTGGATCCCCACCTCCTTCCCCAAGTCTCCACCTCACCCCAGAGCTTATTTCTTCGAACCAAGAATTGTTGGACCAGCTATGAGAGGCCAGAGAATTAGGCTTGTCGCCAGCTGCAAGTAAAACTCGAGAAGCTCCTCTTCCTCTCTTTCCTGGTCCACCCCATCCCCTTCCCTCACTTTCTCAGATTATTTCCACTCCTCACCGGAACCTCAGCTTCGTCAAACACTCACCCCAAGGCTTGCCAGCCCTGACGCGAGAACGCTCATCCTGGTGTCTACGGCGGGCTTACCAATTACCTCCTCTCCCATCTTCGCACCTGCGTTCGATAGGATTATTCGCCGAGACCCTGGTCAAACCCGGGCCCTGAGGAGAGAGCTTGCCCCCATAGGGAATATTAGAGCCATCTTCGAGCATTTCAAGCGAATGGGGAGGGAACACAAGCAAGAACAGCAGCGTCAGAATCAGGAGTTAGAAAGTGCCCGCCAACTAGCAATTCCGGCAGTCATTAACTTGATCTCGTCTCTATCAAGCAATACTTCATCCTTGTTTCGCACTTCCCCTCACAACTCCCCAACACACAGTACAGAACCACCCAGCCATTGCCCCACCCCCTGGGAAGATCGGCGGCATGGAGGAAATCCTACCTTTCGAAGAAGGCTGGGACGCTGAGAACCAGATTATATGGAATCCAACAATCCCGACCAAGCCGGCAGAAGATCAACCATCACCTGATGTCCCTCCTAGTACCCATGATCCTAGCCGACCAGTGGATAAAATTGAATCAGGTCCAGTTGAACCAGCCCCGTCCGCTGCAGAATCACCCTTTTCCTACAACCAATATCTCCAATTTATGAAGATCTACCAGGCTAGCCAGCCTGGAATTTCTTCACCTCGCGCAGCCAATCCACCTCCCTTCGATCCTTCATCAGCAATGCAGCCAGCTAGGCCTCCAAGCCAATCCGGGGGGGGGGGGGGGGGGGGGGGGATTTAGTCACATAGCAGCTTCGAGCAAGGGCTAAGGAACTGGAGCAGAAAAAGGAAAAGGAGAAAACGCTTGCAAACGACACCCTCAGGGTCGAAAGATCGAGCTCGGTTCCGGTAGTGTCTACAACACCGACAAAGCCTTCCACATCTTCGAGGCCTCCAGCCAGAAAGACTCCCAAGAAACCCCCTCGAAGCAAGGCTTCATCTTAGTTACACCCCGCTAAGAACAAACGCCCTCTATCGCCAGTACTCTGAGCATCTAGTGAGGATAGACAAGGTCATTATTCGCCACTATCATTGCCTAGTCCGCCTCCGCGGCCGCCTCACAAGGCTAGAAAAACCCGGCCTAAGGAGGTTTTGGTGTCAAACAGACTTCTCGAACCTGAATTATCAGTACACCCGTTTTACAGAGCACTCGTCCAGAACCCTCAAAGCGATCTCCCTTGATCTCCCCGAAGAAGGGAGCCACTAGTCTAAGTGAAACGTTCATGGATAGGGCTAGGGAATTGAAATTCGCACCGGCTGGGATGATCAAAGATCGTCAGATTATGAAAGAACTGGACAAGACAACTACAGGAAAACCTCTAGCGGACTTCATCCGAACCATGGCCAACCCGGATAGAAGGGCTCGTTACACGGGATGGAAAATGGAAAATGAACTACCAGAAACGCTCAAGGCGAAACAGAGCGAGTCCCTTAGCTCGGCTGAAGTTCAAATTCTGCTAGGATTTGACCCAAAGATAAGAGCGGCATTCGTCAAGGTCTTCAGGAAGGAGGGAAATATTCAAACCTAGTTTACCCACACATCTTCATTACTAGAAACGATAAATTCGTCCAACCTGCATTGGCACTGCATTCCATCAATGCCAATTTCATCGAGTCCTACCTATCCTACATACAAAATTCAGAAGGAGTGGCCTTCTGCCCCAGTTGCCCACTAGTCATCTAGAATCCACCCAGTTATTTTGTTGATCGTGAATTTTCGGCCGGTACGAGGCCATTCCTTGGTAGTGGCTCTTTAAAGCTGGTTCATAGTTTAAACTGTTCTCAGTAGGGATAGCCGCTTGCTTCCACTGGCATCCATGGAGGTATGACGACTGGAAACCTAGTGTGGATTCTGTTCCAAGGTTTCCAATACACCTGACTCCTTTTTCGACTTCGGATCCTCATCTTCATCTTTTGACTTTTCTCTAACTCTTCTCTGACTGCTCTTCAACTCTTAGCAAGTATTTGAACTAAATTCTCTCTGCATCTCCTGTTCTTCTACATCTTCAACTCTTTGCGACCTTGATGCTTTAACACTGACTCGATACTTCCTTGACTCTTGTTTTATTCGAACTTGATTTAGTACGACCGCTTCTAGACACCTTCATAATGTCGTCTACATCTTCAGCCGCATCCTCGGCCTTCAGTAGGGCTAGTGCTCATTCACTCAGCTTCTCTTCTATCTCGTCTGATTCTTCTCCGTTCAGTGGGGTTTTACATGTCGACCATCAAGGTTTTCTCAAGTCCTCGCATCGTGCAGGGGGGCCAGTCTTAACTTCTCTCCCGGCATTGGCGACAGGAAACACTTTTACTAACAACCCTGTGCAGCTCTGCGAGCTTGCGAGAAAAACTCTACGTGATCTCAAACTTGATTTCTCCGAGGTGGGTCTGACAGGCCGCATATCAAAAGTTGACCCTGAGCCTGCGCCAATTCCAACTCTCGTTATCTTCATGCCAGACATCTCGCAGCCTGATCTTTGGTATGAGGCTGCCAAGCAGATCCACAGAGATTTAGAGCCCCAGCTTCACGGTATCTCTGTTGAAATGATTGAAGAAAAGTTGTACGCCGGGGCATATTGTTTTCCCGTTGAACAGACTCACTCCATTTATCCTAAATGGAAATCCATTGCGGAGATTATTCTCATAAATCTGAACATCGAGGAGTGGACTGGTCTCGAGTGTTGGCGATATGGAACTAACCCGGCTAAAAATCTAAACCCTGTTACTATTATAGTACAGGTCGAAAAATCTTCCACCCAGTCTTTCCTTACGGCGAATCAAACTATGCGGGGCATTCTTACTTACTTCAATGAATCCGGTGTTGATATCCTTTTTATGAAGGATGGAAAACAGAACCTGGTAGAGAACCCGATGCTCGATCCTAATTCTTGTCGTGGAGCGATCCACCCTGGCGTTAGCTTAGGTATCCACGGTAGCTCTGCTGTAACGTCAACTCTAGGCGGTTTTGTGCAGCTGCGGTTTTCTGGACAGTCCCACTGGCACACATATGGTCTGACATGCTTTCACGCTGTTTGGCCCCCAGAGTGGAAGCGCCCAGAATCAATGTTACAGATTAAAGGAGCAGTGACCGGTCGGTGAAGATTCTTTCCTACATATGTTCCTAGCTAATATGGTGGCTATAGCGCTTTCACAATGGGAATATGGCCCGCTTAGGCTCGAACACCCACCCTCCAGCATTGCCCGACAAATCTTGAAAGTTGATCATCCATCTCTTAAGGATCTCCAGCATACCATCAACGTGATAGATGGCCATATCGATACCTTTAAAACCGGAGAATTTCTCGAGTGGGAAGCGACCCAGAGGGCAATTGACCAAGGCGAGGATCTGTGTATTCCAGAATCCGCCGCCAGGCGTTATAAGGGAATCGCTAAACGAATCAGTGAGTTTAAAGCCGTCCGTCAACAATTTGCAACAATGCGCGACAATAGATTTTACTTTCTGGGACATGTTATTGCTGCAAGTGGCGTGTACCGGACCAAAAAGAACGATGCAGACCAACTCATCAGTATGGACTGGGCTTTGATTGATATTGACCCGGGCAGACTCCAGCCACAGATTCATGGTAACAAGGTTGAAGGCAATCGGGTAAATAAGATCCAGTTCATTGAAGATTGATTATATGGCTAACGATAATTTCTCCTAGCCTTTCGGTAACGGCCCAACCGGACTCGTTTTAGCCAGCGAATTTCAGTTCAACCCCCAGCTGAAGGTTCATTCGGGGATGATGCTCTACAAGACAGGGCGCTCCTCCGGAGCAACTTCCGCTCCGTACAATGGTCTTATCAAGGTGGATATTTGTCGACAGAAAACAGAAAGTGGAGGATTCCAAAAGATCCCTACATGGGTGCATTCAGTGGCCAATGAGACTCCCCAGGCATTTGCAGAGCCGGGAGATTCTGGTTCATGGGTGTATACGAATTACAGCGACGTCTTCGGGATGGTACTTAGCGGCAATGAACGGTTGGGCACAGCAAGCATATCCTCCATATTTGATATTTTCAAGGATATCAAAGTTCTCACTGACGCGGCGGAAGTGAGGATTGCCCCAGGCCCGCCACTTCCCTGATTTATGTCTTTTTTTCCTTCTTCGATCTTTTCCATCGGCAATATTAGGGTTGCTTTTCTACTTTCTGCTTTCTGTTCTCCGCTATCTTTTCTCTGCTTTGCTGCTTTACTGCTTTGCTGCTCTGCTTCTTTTAATCTTTCCATGTAGTACTCGGGATTTCTCGTTGCTCCTAGTACTGCTTGCTTCTGCTTTTGCGTTTGCTCTATTTCTTCGGGGGGTTATCAAGGTGTCTAGTAAATAGCCGCACACACAATTGAACATACATATATGTTCTCTATGTTTTCTTCAATGATAAGATTTTTTCACCGGCCTCATTGAGAAATGGGATATTTCCCGCCTCATTGATCGGGGACTGAGGATCAGCTAGACAGCATAACTTGTATCCGTACAAAGACTGATTGCACGGAACTAATCTCAAGTTATCGGGTGTGATACAGCGTATGTCTTGTCCAAGAACGTTCTTCGCGTAATGGCTATATAGATGAATGTCAAACCCATGCTCTTCACCCTTGAGAAGGTAAAGGGGTATGTCAGGATTGTACAGCTGTTGGAGCCCCTCGATGATCTGTCATAGTAGTTAGCTTTGGTTTGAAAACACGTGGGAAAATTATAGCCTGGCTTTCGATGGATAAAATACCTTTTGTGGATCCGTTCCACCGGATATTCCATTGCGACAAATACCCATATCCAAGAGAGCTTGTTGTCCTAACGCGCTCATCATATAGCCATTCCAGCAGAAACGGGCATTGATCTCACAGATGTGAAAGGCTTCCGCGCCTTGAGCCAGATCAGTATCTGCATCGATAAGAAAGTCCGGATAGATAGAACAGATCGGACTATTTCAAAGTAAGGACGCTTCCCCTAAAGATAATTATGGATCTATGGACTGGTAGCAAGTGATACAGTCAAGCAATTATATCCCTCTATTTAGCTAGCGTAGTAAGGGCTTTATCATGACCATTTGACTCCAGTAATCCGCATGACCGAATCCACATGACTGTCATGCGGTGTCTTGCTCAAGGACTTTATTTTTAAAAATTTCCATGCGTATACACGTTAATTTAGTTATCCCGAACTTCGTGGATTAGGTTGCAGTCGACATCTCACCCCCCTAAAGCCCTGTCCCAAAGCACTTTCTCTTTCCTTTCTCCCATCTCATCCAATCTCATCTCCCTTGCCCGGTGCACTACCCTCTGTGAAGGATGACGCGTTATCCGACAACTATCCTTTTCCAGCATGGCGCAACCCATTCCCCATTTTTCGCCCTTCAGCTCCGGACTCGCCGGTGGTAATCTGATAGATTGCGACAATTTTGCTGTTGCCTGGTAGGTTTTCGACCTCTCCACCCGACCTATGGCACCCGTACCCTTTCGTCTTGCATACTTACCCCACTGGTAAAACCGCGCTCGGTGACCATAAGCCCTACAGGGTGCTTTGAGTTGGAAATATTGTATAAAGAGGACTTCCTTATTGGATGGAAAGAGAAAAAGCCAGCAAAGATCCGGTTGGCCCAGGCCAATTTAGGTCTCGTATGAGATTCCAAGAGTAGAAGAGGGGCAACGTCGCCACGACCTATGCAAAATCTTAACGGTGGCTGAATGCCGAGCAAGGCGGTCTTGTCATTCTGAGGGGCGTAAGTTGGTGGATTGGCGGCAAGTGTGAACTGTTCGCCAATTACAATGTTGCCTTTCACTAACCTCCTAAACTGAGAGGGCAGCAAGACTAAATTGCTAGAATAACTAGTGGATACAGAAATACAAAGAGTTGAATACCATTGATTGGACTACATTTCACAATACGGATTACTCCGACAATATTTCCAATAACTACCTAGAGCTTTTATACTACGTTGTACATGGTCTTTGTATGTGACATATGTTCCATCTGGTTTGGTCAAGTGGTCTAAGGCGATTGACTAGAAATCAATTCTCTTCGGAGGCATGCAACCGTCGTTGAAATATCTTTTTTTTTTATTCTTTTTGACACCCTTTTAATGCGTATGTATAATACCTTTGGGGGATTCAATTTTGTACTTTTGCACTTTTGCTATCTAGAGGAAAATTTATTACTGCACAGAAATATCCCCAAATAATCTCAAAATCCATGCAGAATCGCTTATCACCTCGGGGGGAGCACCGTGCCTGCTGGCCGAACTACCCAATTCAGACATAAACAGCGCCGCCAAAGTGTGGGGGTCCGGTATTCCCCACACTCGATGTCATATGTGGTCTTCGCGTAAAGGTATTGAAGTAAGCCCGTTTCCCACAATTCTAGGGGAATATCTCTTCATTTTGCACCCATACCTTTAGGAAGTATGTCACAGTCAAAGGAATGGCAAAAAATGCTCCGCGGTGAGCTATACTGGGCATGGGACGAGGATCTGCAGGCGAACCGAACAAGATGTAAACAGGCCTGCGATGATTTCAATGCCGCCGGGACTGCAACAAGGCGTCGAAAAGTAGAGCTATGGAGAAAGTAAGCTTAAGCGGCGTGATCAGAATGGTCATTTATTATTGCCCAGGGACCTTTATGCTGACCATATGTGTGTCCAGTATTCTCTGCGACACACGTCCAATGCCACCGTTGAACCCAGACCCGAAAGAAGACGAGGCGCTTTTCGAAGAGACCGATCCCTTCGTCGATGGACCGATTTCTGTGGACCACGGTCTGAATTTCAAGGTCGGCAAAGGCACCTTTCTCAACTTCAATCTTCTCGTGCTCGACACCTGCCTGATCACCATCGGCGAACGGGTACTGTTTGGTCCAAATGTCTGTCTTTATGGTGCAACCCACCCCTTGGACCCGGCTGTTCGACAAGGGTTGAAGGGACCGGAGTGCGGAAAGGAAGTGCACATCGAAGACGATGTATGGATTGGTGGTAGTGTGATCGTGCTGGCGGGCGTGCGAATTGGAAAGGGGAGCACGGTTGGAGCTGGCTCGGTGGTAACAAAGGTCAGCAGATCGAAATTGAACATCTCTATTTCCCCGTTGAGAGAAGCCAGACTGACTTTGGCAGGACGTTCCTCCCTTCCACTTTGTCGCGGGCAATCCCGCCCGAGTCATTCGTCGGATTGAAACGAGCATGAACCCTGAGGAGCAGCAATGATTCTGCTGTGGGTGTAGGAATTATTAAACGCTGCAGCTGACTGGAGTGTTCTTTAGAAGTTTATCCAATAGAATAACTGAACCTTTGTACTGGGATTCGAGATAAGTATAGAAGGTAGTACACATATCATTAGATCTAGCCAGGGCACAAGCGGATGGAACAATGGCACCGCCTGGCTTCTCAAAATTATCAATTCGATGTATTGTTTTGGTGCCGGTGACGGGGCGATCCATATCGCCGAAGAAATGTGATCACCGGGTCGCTGACTCCCATAGATCATATCAGCCAAGACTAGTCTCATTCTCCGTCTCTAGTGCTCAATTTTGCTACCAGCCCCGCTAACCAAGTATAGGAACCTGACCTGAGCTATTGGTCTCTGTTTAGCAGTATCGCTATTAGCAGTCTTGATAGTTGCCATGGAAGATATGGACCGGGTAATAAACGCCGGAATACCCATCGCAGAACTATTGTACCAGGCAACAGGATCAACAACAGTGACTGTGGCACTGAGCGTACTCTTGACAATCATATACGCAGCATGTGTTTCTCTACAATAGGTCAGCTGTGGGGCGTCTTACATGAGCCTTCGCCAGAGACCGAGGTACTCCATTTCCCGATTTCTTCGACAATATAGACAAGCTGCTCCAATTCCCGCTTCGTACGACTTAGGCTCAATGATTTTTGCTGATATCTATGGTCTCATATACCTTGCCAGCACCACGGCTTTCAATTCCATCATTACCTCGGCCGTTACGCTATTGAACTTGAGCTACGCTGTTCCTCAGGCCATCCTCGCTACGCGAGGTCGTGCGCAGTGTCTGCCAAAGCGGCCACTCGGTCTTGGTCGGTGGCGCACCCGTTTTGGTGGGATTGTTTCTTATCATTCTTGTTTTCTGGGGTTTGATAGGTGACAAGTTCAAGGGGCCTAATATTGATTGGAAGATGTTAAATACCAAGAATGGGGTGCCAAGTGATGGTTCGACAGGTACAGTTGAACCGAACATAAACTGAACAGCTTCGCTGGATTTGTGAGGCTTGGGGAGGATGGTTATGGAATGATTTCGGGTCAGCCACAGCCTTCTATCAGGTTTGCCGAGTTGCAGCAGCTAAATCGTGATGGTCCCTAAGAAGCATATCTGAGAGTAAACCAACGCTAGTTGAAGAAATGGAACAATTTGTATTTGATACCGCATCAAAGGCTAAATAAAAGCTATTAGAAACCAGCCACCAGACCAAATAAAACAAGCATTGTGCATTGATTCGGGGAAGAAGCCTCCAAGATCGCCAACACAGATTGGTAATAAAATTTGCCCTCAGATTGAAAACTACCATGTTTTGTCACTCGTCACCGGCGTGCTTGTCGTTTCCTTGAAAGGCGTACAGACGAAGCACATATACAGGGCCTCGGAGTATGTAACAGCATTTTTTCGTCACTGGGCTATTACATGAGAATGGGATCTGGAACATTTCATAATGGATTTATGATTCGGCAGGGCATAGGAGGATTGGCGTAGAAAACCGAAAAAGTGATATTTGGAGACCTAGAATATATACAGCAATGCTGGGCGACGTTAGTTGAACACATTGAACAGATTCAATTATTGGCACGATACCAGACAACACACAACAAGAAATATCAAAGGCCCGAGTCTCTTCAGATTTCTGTTCATTGTTCAATCATACACTTATGGGCCGATGTCTTCTTCCACTCCGAGGTGTCAGGGGGATGAAGTCCATGGCCCGACGGGTTCATTCAACCGACATGTCATGAAAAGCTCTTGTGAGGGTTATCGTCATCAAGACTTGGCATAAGATATTCCACTGAATCTGCATTGTAGCTAGAGACTGGGGAATTATTTTGGAAAGACATACCTTTCGTGATGAATAGGAAAGAAGTAAACCCAATGAGTGCGTCGCTGTTGCATCTTCTCAAGCGATAAGAAGTGGTTGTTGGCGTTGACTGGCAAAGTATTATCAGATTCTACCAAGCTGTGCCTAGACGTGACCTTCTCAGACAGGCTGCAGCGTGGCATCGATACTGATAGCTGAACCGGCTTGTCAACAACAACTTTCTATCGGATGAGATGATGCAAGAGCATAAGTGACATTGTTAGGGGGTAATTGGCCAGAGACTCGCAATTGTAGGGTTTTGGGGGATAGCACGCGTGTTATCAGGTGGGCAGGTGCGGTAGTACGTTTACCGCCTTTCCTACCGCCTTACTTAGTCCCCGCACAAACCCTGGGACCGCGGCACGTGATAGCCAGCGTCGTTCTACCGATGAACGCATTTGCTTGCATATGCATTCCGTTATTAAAAGTTCATGTCTGCACCGGTCGACTACTTGTGATGGTCAGTACACCCAACATCGATCATGGGTCCCCCAGCATCCAAATGGTGGCAAGAGCCCAATGGTGCCGACCTCGACTACGGATTCGATTCTGACGAACTGGATACCAGATATAACAAACTTGACCGAGACACCTCCCACGAAAACCAAACCAACCCGGGAAATACCCAGGATACAGACGACAAGGGTGTGATTGGAAGCATGTCTTCTTGGCTCCACCGTCAGGCTGGTTCCTCCCACGGACAGCTTGCGACAGCAGCTGTTGTGTCAGGCGCAGCTGTCGCAGGTGCTATCCTTGGGTACCAGTCATACAAGCGCAAGGAAGCTGTTCATGATCTGAAGGCTTCAATCCCGAGCTTAGATGATTTGAATCCTGCGGAAATGGTGAGTTGCGCCGGTGAACCTGCGCATTCAGTGCCTAGCAAGCTACAGGACAAAAAGAACTGATTCAGAGAACCTATAGCTCACCGATTTTGGCGCCGCCTCGAATGAAGTACAGCTGAGCAAGGAGGATGAGCGCGGTGCAGCTTTGGCTCGCAGAGCGCAACGGGGAGACTACGATGATGGTATGTGACCTTTCTATGACTTCCTTGAACCTATCTGACTCGGCCTGTCTTGCTTTGGTAGACTTGATTCTTGAGCAGCTTGCCCGCAACCGTGTGTTCCTCGGCGATGAAGGCCTTGCTAAGCTTCGATCATCATTTGTTGTCGTTGTCGGCTGTGGTGGTGTCGGTTCGCATGCCGCAGCCTCACTGGCCCGATCGGGCGTCTCCAAAATCCGGCTCATCGATTTCGATCAGGTCACACTATCATCATTGAACCGACACGCCCTTGCAACATTGGCTGATGTTGGCACACCGAAGGTTCACTGTATCCGGAGGCGATTGGAACAAGTCGCACCGTGGGTCATGTTCGATTGCCGGAATGAGCTCTATGGAAAGGCCGCGTCTGAGGATCTCCTCGGCCCGTGGTCTCTGACACACGATGGAGAGGGCCGTCGACCGGATTTTGTTTTGGATTGTATCGATAACATTGCATCCAAGGTAGAGTTGTTACACTACTGCCACTCGAATTCCTTGCCTGTGATTTCGTCGATGGGTGCAGGATGCAAGTCGGACCCGACTCGCGTTGTGGTCGGTGACATTTCGCTCAGTACCGATGATCCTCTGTCCCGCAGTACACGCCGCAGGCTGAAGTGTCTCGGTGTTTCGTCTGGCATTGCAGCCGTGTTCTCGACAGAGAAACCGGGCCCGGGCAAGGCTACTCTACTTCCTCTTCCCGAAGATGAATATACCAAAGGTCAAGTTGGTGAGCTTAGTGTTCTTCCTGACTTCCGAGCCCGCATCCTCCCAGTACTGGGAACCATGCCTGCAGTCTTTGGTTACACGGTAGCCAACCACGTTATCTGCACTATTACTGGCTACCCGCTTGATTATAACATGGGTGCCAAGGGCCGCGAGAAACTCTACGATACCATCTTGAGTGCTTTGCTAAACTCGTATGAACGAATGATCAGACAAGTCACCGGTCAAGATACCGTGGGGCTTCGCTTACCGCTTAGCAAGCATGACATTGCATTCCTTGTGGAGGAAGTATACCGAGGGAAGAGTGCGGTCAGCGGCTTGTCTACTAGACTGGCTCTCATTCCCTGGCAAACTCCTGCTCACGGATGGAATATGGATTTGAGCCTCGAGAAAGAAGGACAAAAGACCATCCCGATAAACCTCAGTGAGATAGTTTGCATGACTAAGGAGGAAGCACTCAAACACGAGGACAAGGTACTCAAGGGCGGCATGAAGGTGGAAGAGGTATACGATGAGGCTGTTATCCAGCGTGTAAACTTGCGGAGACGGGAAGCGGAAGAGTATGATCAGTACCGGGGATAGTTTAAAATGTACAAATAAACCAAAAGGACAAAAATGGAGTTTGAAACATCAGCATAAAGAATGTACAGACAAGGATTTCTACGGACCTAATAGGAGAAAGCGGGTAGATATACGTCAGAGCCTGGGATAAGCTTTTTCTGCCTCTTCACATTCACTCCCGCTCAACTTGACCAGATAAAGCACATATGAAGCATACGATACTCCCTGATCCAAGGATATAAAGCCCATCTCGGGCGCAGGAGAATGGCGTCTCGCGACTCCTACCCGCGCGACTTTGAGCCCAACAGCGCAGAAAACGACTTCCACCCGACCACAACCCACCATCCCTCCTACTCAAATCAATTTGCACAAAATCCTCGCCCATTGATTGATTCTGCCAGAAATGGATGGCAATCTAGAGACATTGGAGGTCTCCAGCGCGGCTCCAGCTCGGCGGATGACATCAAATCCCCGGGATGGTCCCAGATGGCTCTCTCAGTAGCTTCCGCGCCACGGTTTCGGCGTTGTGTGATGATCTACGCTGCATTGTTTATATTTGTATGCATCGGTTGGCGGATGCTTTCCTCGCGAATACAAGAGCAAAACTCGCTATTGCACTCACTCGATCCGACATCTAAGACAGAGAGAATTGGGCTGTTCGGGGCAAATTCGCCCCCTCAATTCGACGGCTTGATTCAGATGCATACATTGGACCCAGACTTGGTGCCTGGGGATCTAGTGGGAGTGGATGCAGAGAAATCTAGTCGGAAGCGGCTAATTATTGTGGGCGATGTGCATGGCTGTAAAGAGGAGTGTAAGACATGTCCCCTCAAAGTACGGGAATTCTTAAAATTGACGAGCCTACAACAGTGGTGCAACTTCTTGAAAAAGTCTCCTTCAACCAAAAAGGTGGCGACCATCTTATCTTTGTCGGTGACCTGATCAACAAGGGACCAAACAGTCCAGGAGTCGTGGACTTAGCTCGACAGCTTTCGGCATCTAGTGTCCGTGGGAACCACGAGGACCGGGTTTTGCTTCTTCGACAGGAGATGGCGAAGACAAAAACTCTCGCAACCCCCGATGACGATGAAGGCTCTCGTTTTGACTCCAGAGAACTTGGCCAGCGTGCACTCGCGCGGTCTTTGAGCGACGAACAAGCTCAGTGGCTAGAAAACTGCCCAATGATCCTGAATGTCGGCCAGGTTCCAGGCATGGGCCAGGTGGTAGTCGTTCATGCTGGTCTAGTGCCGGGCGTCGAGCTTGCGAAGCAAGACCCTGCTAGCGTGATGACTATGCGGACTATTGATCTAGATACGCATGTACCCAGTCCGAAAAAGAAGGGCATGAATTGGGCTAAAGTATGGACTGTTCTTCTATAATCCACTCTAATCTTGTCGCCATGCTGACATACTTTCAATCTAGATGTTTGATAAACATCAATCAAAATTATACTCAAGCCTCGAGACTTCAACTGAAGATCCTCTTGCGAACACCATGACTGTTGTCTATGGCCATGATGCTGCTACCTCTCTTTCTATCCGCACATTTACAAAGGGCCTTGACTCCGGTTGTGTGAAGGGGGGAAAACTCACAGCTTTGGTTATAGAGGACGGCGGAAAGCAAAGTATTGTACAGGTATCGTGTCGTAATCATCTCAAGGAATGACAGTTCTTCATGGTTTCTTTGAGTCCAGCTTTACAGGCAAATTATTCGATGTTCTTGGCCATAGATTGTATGCTAGCTATATAATAGCAGACGTGGGGAACGGTCACTGAGGATGGACAACTACTAGGCGAAATGCCCGTCTTTTAGTAGAATTTTCAATGACGTGTATAAGCACCACAAAAGTGCCAAAGCCATGATGTAATGTTTCTAGAAAACGAGTCAGAACAATGTTTTCCCCGCCCAGACAAGGGGCAAAATAAGAAGAGTATAGCCCTAGTTGCTCCCCAAGAAAGTGTCTACGTACGCTCGCTACCTGATATCAAGGAGACTATGACGGGTTGTTGAAGTGGTGCAAATAGAAACCAGGAATATCAAACCTACTCATTGAAACTAGTTCATCTAGTTCTAACTTAGCTAAGCCCCGTCAACAATCATCGCCATGACAAACATCCTTCAACAAGTCTTTGGAGAATCTCCATCTCCACCAACGCAGTCAATATCAACGTAACCTCATCAACCACGCTCCATAAACATGGTTCCAACAACCCATCCACACTTAACCTCGAGGCAACTCTTCTTAAACCTACAAATAAGCCAAACAAGCCCTTCACCATCCTCACCTTGGACACTCCAATGGCAATGCCCCCAACGAAAACGACATGGACTTTATCAACAGCGAGACAGGCGCCCACACAAAGCACACAAGCCTAACCGCACATCATAGATGGAGGCTAGGAAGCACCCTGAGCGGGCAGGGGACAGTGAGATACAGGCGATCCCGCTTGTGAAGCAGGAGTCAGCTAGTAAGCTGGAGGAACCATGGTACCGACGGCTGGAATCAGTGGTACGAGCCGCAATACAGCCCATGTTTATTTCAACAACTCTCAAAATTATAACTATGAAATGATATGGTGATCTTAACACGGACGTGAGCTGGAACCTTAAAATGGTTTAGTGTACAGGAGGGAAGATAACTATCAACAAAGATCCCAAAGCCCAGAGCCCATGCGTCACGAAACTATTAAAAATATCCATTTCAACAGAAGAATGACGGTATTCACATATGGCATATACACAGTTCTCTATTCGGATCCGGATTCAGAATCCTCGGAGGGGATCTCAGGATCAGGGAAAACAAAATTACCATCAGCGCCCCAAACGGCAGGTGGAGAAAAGTCTTCATACCAAAGACCTCCCAAAGAATTAGTGTGAACGAGTCCAAAACGGAAATACTCCAACTCGTTGGGATAAGTACGAGACCAAGTGAAATCCGGCAAATGCTTGCCATCCTTAGGTCGGAAGACCTGGAAGCGCTCGACGTCGTTGACCAAGACACTGAGGCCGTCGGCATGGGGCTCGAGGTCTGGGAACGAGAAGACGAGGTTGTTCGCATCCGTCAAGGAAGGAGGATATATCTTTGGTGGAACGGTACCAAGTTTCGCACCATCAAGGAGAGCGGCTGGGGTTTGGAGGATCGAATCGAAGCCCCAGCGGGCGATGCCGTTTATAAAAAGACCAATAAGGATACCTGAGTATAGGAGGCTGGGTCGCGTTTGCATAGTTGTTCCCGGTAGGAAGAGCAGAGAAAGAATATAGTGGTGGATGCGTAAGTTCATGTTCGGAACGGCGACAAGGATGAGAACAATTGCAACAAGGACGCCGTAGATGCTTATCGTAGGGAAGAAGCGACCCTCGCGACGGAAACAGTGTGCTTGACCAAACGCGATTGCGACTAAAGAGCCAAGAACAATGATGAGAGCCATAAGAGCACCCGGTTGCTGCTGGATATCGTGGGGCGTGAGGCGAGAGATCGGAATACGATCAAATGTGTCTGTATTCAGAGCGCCAACCCAGCAGCCGCCCAGCCACAGAACAGTCTTGTCCCAGTGTGCATCCAGATCTTTGAGTGTGTGCCGGACGCAGAAGTAATACAACACAAATCCTACAAATGCACCAGGTAAGAATCGACCGAGCGCAATTGACACAAGGTCATAGTAGCTCCCCATCGAGGGTGGGTCGGACGCCATGGCGACTTGGAACCAGACAATAAAATAGATCATGGAATAGAACGCCGGTGCCGAGGTCACGACCAATGACAAGATTGTGGTCCAGATCAATGTGAAGGCGAAGAGCGACCAGCGCGCATCAGAACATTTGATCGGGGTTGTCTCGTTAGAGTCTGGCGTGGACGCTTCATTACCGAGTCGGAATGACATTGGGAAACTCGAGAGAAACTCGATGCTTTCAATTCCGTGTTGCGTGACCGACTGGAAGCTTTTCTGCTCGCCGGTGCGGTGCAGGATGCCACATCCGCCCCTCGCATCATCAATTAGACCTGCATGCAGTGCCGACGCGCAAATTGACGAATCGCCGCGGTAAGTGCCGCTGTTATGACCATCCACCTTAAATGGCTTACCTCCCACGACTAACGGTCGGTAATTGAGCTCCTGGTCGCCAACAACATATGGCTCCAAGAGAATCGCCGCTGCACAACCCGAGGGGCATCGGAACGCGAAGGATTGGTCCTCGAATGGACGACAAGAATCACCATTCAGTCCGCAATTCGTGGCATTGCTCCTATATAGATATGGTCAGGTTCACGAGATCTGATTAAGGATAAAAATAGAAACACACCATAAACGGTGGTGACACGACAGCTTGACGGGCTGCCCATACCCCGGAACATCTTGACCCGCAAAAGAAGCTTTCAGGGACACGAAGAACACGACTATCCAAAAGATTAAACCACCAAAAAGGAGCGCAATCTTTGAGTTTCTGTGCGGAAATTTCTGATCAATCAGACGCGCCGGCGCAGCCTGTAAACGAGCGAACCAAGGGTTAATGTGATAGACATGCGGCGGCGTTGGGCCACGGAGCCATGCACAGAATCCCGAGGGCGTACAAGAAAACGGCGGATCGCGCTCGACTTTCTCCGATTGGGCCTCCATGTCGTGGACTTCTGAGGGCAGAAGAGGCACATCGCCTAATTCCAAGTCGAAGCTTAGTTCATCACTGTCGCGGGCATCATCCTTGTATTGCGACCCGATCTCCTGTAAAGGATACTCGGTCGACTTATCTGGCGAGGGCGATCGCGCACTTGCCCTAGACTCCGGTCGCGACTGCATTTTATATTTACAAAATTTTTACCTGAGCTCTGGAGCTATCAGGGGGAAGGAAGTGGAATTCCTCATTTTCAATATCGAACTCGACGTTCCTGGAATTTCTTGGCTTTTAGTCATCCGGATTGTTGCTCCGGGGATATCAAATCCGGCATCTCATCTTCCATAATATCAAAAAAATGAATATTCAACCCTACAGTTCTTCAAAGATGTGTGGCGAGATAACAGGCCTACTGAGACAAGACCATGTTCTGCAATACCCTCGAATGAGAGCTTGTTGAGACTTTAAAAGAAAGAAACAAACTGGTGAGGCTGTAGTATAAGACAGATGCAACGGCAATCTGAAGGTATATATTTGCGAGAAGCTCTGGAGGTATCTACAGAGGAAACCTCTTTAGAGGCATTAGGTAGCAACTTTATAATTTACAACAATCGCTAGCAGTTTAGACATTTCTGTGGGACATAATAGAAAAGATTACAACTAGACATTACAAAAACTGCGGATATATTGAAAAACTAAGATTTACAGCAAACAAGAATCCTTCATTAGGATTTTCTCTATCAAATTGGAAAATAAATCAACAATCTGAAATAGCCATGGGTTAGATATTAATCAGCCTAGTGGACCTCAATATAATATCTAGAGACCAGTGACACGGGCGAGAAAATTAAATCAAAACAATTAGGATGGCCAAGATTTTGGTGCAAAAGGGGCCTACACGGCGCCCAAGGTAGTTATGCTCGTAGCCGATTTACCATCAATTTGTGACGAAAAACGGGAATGGTAGAAGGCAACTCACGGACAGATTAAGAGTTTACGGTGGCTATATGCTGGGTCTCATATAAAGACCTCCAGTCTCAGCAGCTAGAGGTGACTCAGGCTCAGACTTAGGTTCGAACCCAGGAGCAGGTCGTAGGGGCAAGGCAGGGGTATAAGGACCAGGAACAGGGCGGTTATAAGCCACATAAGTGTCGACTGGAGGAGGGCGAGGTCTCACCGGAATCCGAGTATTCATAAGAGAGAAACAATCAGCTCGAGGGATCTGAAGATCGTTGACATATGGTGCTGGGGCGGTATCTTCAGCCCGGGAAATCGTTATAGGGAACGGCACAGCTAAATCCCAGAGGAATGACTGCGTCTCAATGTTGCGGGCAACGTCAGTGGGGGACCTGTGGCGCAAAAAGTCATCGGTCAGCATGTTCAAAGTGTCAGTGGTATAAAGGCAGGCCCAATCAAACTCGGACATCGGGATCTGTCCGGGGCGGTCGATTAGAATGGTGAAAAATCCAGTAGGTACAACACGCACAAGCTCATTGGTCGGGCAGTCAATGGCCATCATCTGTCCGGCTCGTTTAAGCTGTTCTAATGACCGATGAAGCTGACCCACCCTACCAGCAAGCTCATCCTCAGGCGATAACCCATTGTGCAGGATGTCATCAATGAGCTGCTGGCAGCAGGACTGGAATCCATCGCGCGTAGTCTGAAAGAGCCGGGACGAAGTGCTGTCTAACATCACCGACATGGTTTCTTGCCGATATCAAAAACCTAATCGTGTGGCGGAATAGACTGTGACGAGTCGTGGTAATGATGGCCAGGAAGAATTAATCACTAATTCTGGGAAGTCAGCAAGAGCGAACTGTTCTGGCTCGACGGAATATTGTATGAAGGTCCGAGACGGCCTATTTATATTACTTAGATGCCGCACTCCCAACAACGAGGAGGTTATTGCTGGGAATAAAAACAAAAAGGTGATTAAAAGATAAGAAAACAAAGGCGAAAAAGGAAACATATAAAATAAGGGGATCTGTGATATAATGGCCTTGTTGGCGATTCTTTATTACTCTGGCCGGGTACCGGGAACTAGGCGAGGGTGTAACAAAAGAACTATTGAACCAACGTGCATAGCGTGGTTAATTAGGATACAAGGTCCCATTGCTATATGAAATAATGTCCAAAGGAACTGCATGTCTTAAGAATATGTTGCAAAAGGAGTCAGTTTACACCAAGATCAAGAGCCAAATTGCAAACAAAGCACCAAGATATTATTCCACCAAGGGTATCAACGTAAGTCGTAAGTCATGGTCCTCCAAATCATGAGGTGAGCGCGAGAAGATAACATGGAAACAAACAAAAAAATATCACAAATGAATTGATATCACTGGTATTGTGCCGAGTGCGAGGATGGATGCACATACTGGGTCGTGCACGACCGAGTACTGGTGTTGATTTCTGCTATGCAGAGACTTGATGAGTCCATATTATTATCTAGACAGCGGAGCGACGACCCCAGCGGCGGCGGTGACTGTTCAGGATGTCAGTATCAATCAATTAATACTGTGTTATTCGATGGTTTGGATCGGTCACTTACACTCTATCAGTGGTGCTGTCACGAACCCGGAAGGTGAACCAGATCCCCTAAAGGCTTATTAGTATCTATTCATGTGGGCTGGACACTCTTATCACATACCACAATAGCAGAAGCAAGCCAGATAATAGCAGAAAGGAAGCTGAAAGCCTCGGCTGCCTTCCACCGGCCACACATCTGATCCCCTCTAAAGCGCCAAGACCAGATGCTGCCGCAGGGCATGTGGTGGAGGGTGTCGACGAGGACACCGAAGGCAGCGAACCAGGCAAGCGAAATAATAATGTCCACTATATCCCAGTAAGCATTGGCCTATATTCAACAGGTAGCATATCTAGCACGTACTAGGCCAGGAAAAGAACCCCGACGAGAACGGAATCAGCCATATGAGACCTAGAAATATCGACAAGCCGGCGATTACTTCAGTATAGATCCATCGCGACTGGGGCCACCAATCAACATCTGCGCTGCTATGGTTGATCTCGGCTAGGTAGTGTCCGATAACACCAGCGACGACCTAAAGAAGAGTCAGATGCGGCTTACACAAGTTGGTATATATCAGGGTTACTCACGGCCGCAAAGGCGATCTCCGCAACGCGGAGGATGATAGACGCGAGACGTGAAATGACGGGCATTGTTGAAGTGTGGTCAAACCAACAAGCTTTTCCTTTAATAAACCCGAAGGATATGGTTTTACAAGGAAATAATGTGTTAGGCTTGTGCAAGAAGTTGTGTGGGGGGAGATGAAGAGGTGTGGGCTGGGGGAAACAAGAAGCTATATAACATGTTAGGTCGCACAGACAGGCAAACCCTGAGAGAGAGCGACAGTGTGTCTTCCAAGCAAGGGCCAAATGTGAGAACCTAATAATAATAATAATAATAATAATAATAATAATAGTCGAAACGCTAAATTCAAGTAAAAAGAATCCAAAATAACGCACAGCTTGCATTAGGCGCAACCAATAGAGTCAATTCGAGCCTACTGATGTCATTAGATCCTTTCTATGTACGGAGTCTAGCGAGTTCTTTCGAACAATCCGAGGTCACTTTTGGTCAAAAGTGCCGTGAACAAAACGTGCCCAACCAGCTTAGATGGGTAAGAGATCGACTTTTCGTGGCGGACTGACCGCTGATGTGGACTGTGGCTGAATGCTCCTCAAGACCCGATCGGAGCAAGGAGTGGGCCTATGGGCTGTCAGGAAATAAGGGGATACAGGTACTGCATAGCCCTGGAAGTATTTGGATAGCACTGCTGCCTCCATATCATCATCCCTGTGTTCCCCAGGCCCAGCCTTCCCATGTTAGAAAATGCCCCGTGGCGATGTGCTGGCCCAGAATACGGGCTCTTCGGTGCTGGATTGTGATATACTTCAGTGGCTTGGTTTTTGAGTGAGTTGACTGCCGATCCCATCGACTATTGGTGATAGCTCTGATTTTCTCCAGAATTGGGTTTGGTCTCCACTCAGGGCGATCATTGTTGTCTGGCAGGTGCGTCTATACATACGTTGTTAATTGCCGAGCCATAGTCGACAGGGGAGATCCGGTTTGAAGCGAAGACCCCCTTGTACCTGTAGACACCTCTGACGACACTGACATCATGCTTAAAGTCATCTGACCATTGCTCGCCTCTCAGCCTTATGACGTGGGGCCACGGAGTGGGACTTGACAAGCTTGGTTTTGTTTATTTTTATATTTTTATATGATCTTTGATGAGGATGTCGAATTATTCTGCTTCTTAACTGTAAAATTACTTCCAAATTACTAGCATTTCACCTCTGAGCAAGTGGAGATGCAGAATTAGGCAGACATAGCAAAACATCGAAGCTACATGCAGGAAGAGCTCAGGAACATGCGGGGCGATACAAAGTTTACAATCTGAGCGAATATAGTTATTGGGCCATTGATACTATGAATAGCAATGGCCGCAATAACGAGGATAACTGGTAAAGCCAAGAGAGAAGATCAAATTTGAAATAATGCTGCCTACATAATCCCAAAAAAAGAAAAATTACATGCCGATACACAATGACCTCCCATCCGCAAATCCTGAGTCAAAATAAAAACACATATGTTACAATAGTTTCGAGAAAAGAAGAATTATGTATTCTTCTTCTGTTCCAAGTGCCATGCCATCACATCGCGGAATATCCCCTTGGAGCCAGTCTCAATAGTATCACCATGGCATGGAATCAAACGATCAAAGTCCCACTGATCAATCCTTCTCATAGACTCATTGAACGCAGCCCGATCTTGCGACGAGAGAATATACCACGCGAACCGCCTGTGCCATGTAGCCGGTGGCTTGGTAGACAATAGGGGCATAATAAGCTTCGTCAAGAAATTAGTCTCCGCTTCGGGGGTCTTGGAATACTGTTCCTTAGCGGGCAGGTTGAAGAGCAGATCCGCCTCGATGACGGTGCGCGTGGGCTTATGCAAAAATACCAACTCGCACGATCCATGGCCATACACATATTCGCTGTCAAACTCAGCATCGAACTCCTTCGAGATCGACCGCGGCAGTTGATCATCCTTCTTGAATATGTGTTTGAATGGGGTGTCTTGGAACTCCGGATTTGATTGCCGCTTCTCATAGAGACCCTCTGGGGCCAAGATCTCTGCTTGTGGGTATGCATCCTTCCACGGGGTGAGGTTGAGGTGGTGTTCGATATCTGGCGCTGTGATATATTTGACGTTTCCGCCGAGGGATTCAACAGTCTCGCGGACTTCGGGCGTTAGGCTGACGGGCGAAAATACTGCGAGGGAGCCGGTGGCAAGCTTGACTGTCGCATGCAAGGAGTGTTAGCACTAGATCGTAAACATGGCCCCCCTTTCCCCGTGGGCTTGACATGGCTGCACGTCATCCCCTGTCACCCAAGGTGGTATGCGCCTGGTGAGTGGGCTCTGTAAGGGTTCGGTACTTACCCAGCGTCCCTCGACCGCCGAACTGCAGGCATCCAAATCGTGAGAATGGCAGACTCATGGTCACAATTTCTGGCGTCACATGGCGAATTACCATGGTCGCAGAAGGGTTCGTTGGAAACAGCTGTGGCATTTTGGCGCGTTTCCTTTTCTTTGTGCTTTTCGAGGCCGAGAGCTGGCGTTGGATGCTTCAGTGTATGTGTCTTCGATATGATAAAGCTCACGCTAGCAGAAAAGTTGATAATAAAATAATAAACTGAAGAGCAGGGTTAAGAAGTTCGGAAAAGAAAGTGGCCAGGCCATGACGTAGGCTTGTCTCCCCACTTTGGCTAGATCTATGAGAAAGACCTCGGCAGTGCTTTGAGTTGACTAATTTGATATACTTATATACATTACAAGTGACTTAGTTTATTGATTTGGAATTTGTCCATTGTGCCATTTAGGCGTACTCTTGAACTACATGTCATAGAAAACTGGCATATTCACACAAAGCTAAATTATTGACCAACGCAAGGCAAAAAAAGTTCAAGGGGTATCTTGCAAAATACACTCGTGGAATCGTGTCTTCAGAAGGAGCCTAAGCATACCAACTCGTGCCAGTCTCTTGTTGTTTCTCTTCGCGATGGGGGATGATAGAGTCCTGAATATTGAAAACATCGATGAGTTCGTACCACGTTTCGTGGTCTAGGCTAAAGACCGCCTGATGTTTTTGCACGCCCTTCTTTTGAGCTTCACTGGGGGCGAACGGTGCGGCCGCATCTACTAAATGATTAGTGCTTCATCAACCAGTCATGTTGAAGAATACTCACGCAGGGTCGGCAGTTTGCGACTATCTACTGATACACCCACTGTACCGTCTCGCACTAGGAAACTCACATAGAACAGGTTTTCCACACTCTGCCCGAAAGATTTCGGATTGATACAGAAGCGAAACAAGGGGATCCCCCCGTCGTCTGCCACGCTGTGCTTATCCATGATTTCTTGCGCTTTCTCTGGGGTAAGATCTTCTTGGCTTTCAAGCTCTTTCGTAGCGTCTCTCTCGCGCTCATACTGGCTGTTGGCGAGCAGCTTGTTGATCTCGGAACAGATCTGGGTCAGATTCGAGCTTTCCTGCTGGCCAAGATCTTGCTGCGCCATTTCCCGGGGCGCCACGGCTTGCGTCGGATCAATACGTTCTGCTGCCCTTCGCTGTGTCATTTGACGCGTACGTTTCTGTACCGACAACGGCCCCAGTAACCACCCGGACACTGCCGGACGAGCATTGCTAGGAAAGCAGGCCGATCGGCCAAGCGTATCCCAGTTCATCGCATCCCCATCATCTTCGTCACTGGCATCGGGGTCTCTTTGGCTTCGATCAGGGCGCCCTCGGTGCCCCTGTGTGCCGTTTGTTGAAGCCGTCGCGTTGTTTGGACCGCGACGCATGAACGATACACACTTGGAGACGAACTCGTCTACATCGATACCGGCAGAGGTGTCACCGAGAGCGAGCTGGGTGGCTTTCTTTTGGGTTAGATCGGCGGTGTTGACGAGGATGCGCGAATCGAGCGTGGCGTCGGCGGTTTGTTTCACTTTGGCGTAGAATTGATTTGCTTGTTCGACAATGTTGAGGATACCATCATTTCCAGGCTGCATGAGCTCGCCTCGCGTATCTTTGTGAAACCTGTTAGTGCACTATCACTCGAGTCTCGAGTCCAGACAAAGCGACCTACCGTTCAGTTCCCTACCCAGATCTCGAAGTCCTCTCCGTACACTTCTCCGCTCTTCGGGATCCTGATCAGGATCATAGTATCGCGTATCGCTGCTAGTTCGTTGAGATGATGCTTGCGACTGCGCAGATCGGGCAGACTGGGCATTCGAGGAGCGGTCAGCCAGTCGCGGTCGTTTATTCTGTGCACGCGGCGGTGGCATCGCAGCAGTAGTTCTCTTATTGATACCCTGATGCCGATTTTCTTTATCGGAATTAAATGCTTCTCGTGATGATGTTGATGAATTTGGGCAGGGACCTGAGGTGTTTGCTTTGTCCAGGTGTGTGTGAATGAGACGTGCCATATTCGATCAGCACTTGTTAGTGCGAAATGAGATGGAGTTGCTAGAACAAAGAAAATCCAACAAAGCAAAAAAGAGGCAACTAGTCGGGTACAGCTAAGCACAGTATCCCAATTTAGACAAAGAGAATACCTCGAAATACACTGGGGTTTGAAAAAAAAAAGATGGTGGCTACATTTAATGATCGCGAACGCTTTGTCGCGTCGCGTGGAGCTTACACGTGACTCCCGTGTCAGTTGCTTATCGGTCATGACGCAGCGACCTGTTGCTCTCTCCAGACGGGGAACAGAAATGGAAGCCTTCACCTTTGCCGTGACCACTCAAGTGGACATACCTATACGCATCAAGATGTACGTTCTCCATTTTTTAAAATTGAAGTTTCTCTCACGTTGACGCATCCACAGTGGCTCGTTGGAGGGGAAGCAGAAGCCGATCCCATACACAGTTCTTGATCAAAACGCCGAGCTGCGGCATATTGCCTCCGTCCAAGACCCGACATCCGATCTTTATGTGACCGCTCAGATATGGTCGGAGTCGAAGCCATTGGGCGTGCCGATGAAGACCAAATATAAGGCCTTCAAAACCACTCGAGTATGGAATGAATGGCTAGAGATGTCCATGTTCATCAAGGATGCCGAGCGTAATGCTCAGTTGGCAATTACCATCGTTGATATGTCTCCACTAGCTGCCGATGGGGTTACGCACATTCCATTCGGTGGAACTACAATCGCCTTGTTTGACGAAGACGGAAAACTGAAGATGGGCAGACAAAAGTGCAAGGTTTATCTACACAAGGACGCAGATGGTTCTGCTACAACCTCTACACCATCCGTTCTACCACCTAAGCGTCGTAAACCGAATACTCGCGATCCTTCACAGCAGTCACCCGAAGAGGCAGAACTGGAACGGGTCGAAGTCTTGATCAAGAAGCATGAAATGGGCGAGATCCCGCGTGTTGACTGGATGGATCAATTGCTCTTTCGCGAGTTAGAGAAACTGAAGTTAAACGCAGATGAAGCAGCTCAAAAGCGTGCCCTTGAACTTCATGCAGCTCTACAAAAAGATCCGAAACACGTCAAAGATCAGGATGATAGCTCTGACGAAGAGAACCTCGAAGATGAGTATTTCGACCTTTACGTTGAATTTCCGCGCTTTGATCATCCTATCGTGTGGGCGGATCACGAGTATCCTCCCCCACCCATTTCATCCTGGCCCCAAAACGCACCTCCCCACCCCAATGCGACGCTTAAGCCAGTTCCGGAGGTACAATTTGGACCTGGAATTTCACATGCTGATCCTCATAATATCATTCAAATCTACGATCCGGAAGTTGGCCAAATCGGAAACCCGTGCGAGGACAAGCACCGGCGTTTGATCCGAAGCCATCGGACCGGTATCATGGATCGTGATCTGAAACCCAACCCAAAGATCAGGGATGATCTCAATATGATTATCTCCTACGAACCGACGCAAGACCTCACTGCTGAAGAGAAGGACCTTGTGTGGCGTTTCAGGTATCATCTCACACGCGAGAAGAAGGCATTGACAAAATTCGTTAAATCAGTCAACTGGCGGGATGTTGGAGAAGCGCGGCAAGCGGTTGAAATGTTCCCTAAATGGACCGAAATCGATGTTGATGACGCTCTGGAGATTCTGGGTCCTACCTTCGATAATCCTGCTGTCCGTTCATATGCCGTGGAAACACTGCGGAAGGCAGACGACGAAGAGTTGCTTCTGTATCTTCTTCAATTGGTGCAGGCTCTGAAATATGATGCAACCCCGGAAAATCAACCTGATGCTGCTCCGCAGGAGTCCTCGCTTGCACATTTCTTGATTTCGCGTGCGGCTAATAACTTCAAACTTGGCAACTACCTACACTGGTATCTCATGGTCGAATTCGATGACGCTGACGCAATTCAGCGTCGGCTGTTCGCGCGAGTTGAATACTACTTCATGCTTGAACTGGAGAAGCTTCATCCTGAACATAGAAAGACACTATTACATCAAGGTGAAATGGTGGCCGTGCTCTCCAAAATAGCCAAGGATGTACGCTTCGCGCGCGAAAGCAAAGTTGGCAAGATTGAGATGCTCAAAAAATATCTCCGTGACCCTGATAACGACCTGATCAACATAGATCCACCGCTGCCCTTACCTTTGAATCCCGATGTTTCAGTCGTCGGCTTATACCCCGAGGAATCGAACGTCTTCAAGTCCACTCTTTCCCCTTTGCTTATCACATTCAAGACTTCTGAAGGCCGTCGTTATCCAATGCTGTTCAAAGTCGGCGATGACCTTCGCCAGGACCAATTGGTTATCCAGATCATCATCTTGATGGATCGCCTTCTGCAGAAGGAGAACCTTGATCTAAAACTGACTCCTTATCGAATTCTTGCCACCAGCGCAACGGCCGGCGCTGTGCAATTCATCCCCTCAATTTCTCTCTCCGCGGCGTCCGCCAAGTACAAATCCATCCTCGCCTATCTACAAGCCAATAACCCAGATGACACTGAGCCTCTCGGCGTCCGCAAAGAAACAATGGATACATACATAAAATCATGTGCAGGATACTGCGTCATCACGTACCTCCTCGGCGTTGGCGACCGGCATCTTGAAAATCTACTTCTAGCGCCAGATGGCCACTTCTTCCACGCCGACTTTGGCTTCATCCTCGGTCGTGATCCGAAGCCTTTTGCACCCATGATGAAGCTTTGCAAGGAAATGGTTGAAGGCATGGGCGGCACAACTTCGCCCCACTACCTGCAATTCAAGCAATACTGCTATACTGCTTACACCACGCTGCGCAAATCTGCAAATTTGATCCTTAACCTCTTCAGTTTGATGGTGGATGCCAATATCCCTGACATTCGAGTGGAGCCTGACAAGGCCGTCTTGAAAGTGAAGGAGCGCTTCCATCTTGAAATGACCGAGGAGGAAGCCATCCGTCACTTTGAGCAACTTATTGCAGACAGCGTCAATGCTATCTTCGGTGTTGTGATTGATCGCTTGCATGATTTCGTGCAGGGCTGGCGAGCATAAGCTATGTGTATGCGCGATTCCCCAAGGAATTCCAATACTGATATTGCATGCACTTTATTATTATTTTTGATTCCAAACCGCAGGCATTTGAGGCGTTTTGGGAATGAAGTTATGGAACGGGGACTTGCTTCTGCGCGTGATATGATGGATTTATAAAAGCCAGGATACCCAACCTAGACTATTTTGTCTGGATAGCAATGATTTGTTAAAACTTCCGTGCATCGCCCACACAGGTGCTCACCTGATAGATCTCTGCAGCCCAAGCCTCCGGTAGATCATAGGGCGGTTGACGTCCAGGACAGGTTAGCATGTCCTCCAATCTTGTATGGCATGCCAGTCATAGTTATACCCTACGTCGGTGTTGGCCTTTAAACTATGGTAAGAGCAGGGAAATGGCGATGGGAAAGACTTGGCCCGACATCTTTTTGTTCTCACGGTGCGGTGCATATTAGATCACATATTCTTTGATCTCGACTTCTGATACCGCCGACGCTACGAAAAGAAAGTACACCATATCCAGTATATATATATATACATACGGACTTAGTTCGTTTTTACTACATTGGTGCTCTTATGCATGTTCAAATCCCATCTTGCGATGTTCTCTCTATTCCTTTTCCTGGATATTCACTGTATCCTACCCAGAATTGCGCAAGTTCAATGCAGGTCTCATGGCGAGATTCTGGTTGCAGTTCAAAAAGCAGGCGATGTCGTTGGCTTTTTGGCTGCGCGCTCGGCTTGGTATGATCCATGTCTTCCCTGGTATTTGGGATCTTTGCAATGGGGTTTCACAGCTCCCCTTGGTCCCCAGCTCTTTAATTTCATCATGCCGAAACTAAAGAGGTCTAACCTCGGACTAAAAACGGCAATATAATAACAAGCGGTTTCTCTCTTCTTAGTACGAATATCTGTCGTACACAGGCTTATGACGAATTACAAGATCGGTCTTCTGGATCTTGACAATGCCTGATCTTGTGGCTATATATAAGATGACTATGCTCTAAAACAAATACTTGAAGCTTTAGATATGTAAAGGAACAACCGTCCAACTCTGGGCTTGCCGTGGTCTAACCGAGAACTCTGGGGCTGCGTTTATTTCAGTGCTTAGACTCAATACAAGAAGTGGAGGGACAATCTATATATAAAAAAGAAAGGTTTAGCCCAAGGTTGGAAGGGGATCGTAGAAGACTCTGATGATCCCAGACTCCCGACATTCAGCTAATCATCTTAGGGCTAGTATCATCCATGGATTCTCCTAGGGATATTTGGTGATTCCAAGCTTTTTAGTGTATTTACCATACGAACTGTACATGAGGCAGGTCCTAGTCACGTTACTAGGATTATGCCGGTCATAATCACTCTACCTAGGGTTTGCATAATTACAAGATTTAGTGTGTATTTACCATACGAACTACTGGTTGCCTTCTATTCATTTCCTCCAGGTCAGCCGAATCGAACACCTTGAAGGATTCCATGGCGTTTTTGCTAGCTCCGGCGTTCGCCGCATGTGGAAATGGCAGTACCATTAACTTGATTGGCCAAAATTTGACGGGGCCACTTGATGACCGTCCAAGCTTCCCAGATGTATATCCACCTCACTCTTTTCTATGCGGGACTCGCCAAGATCTCATCTAGACATGCAACAGATTGAATAAATAACTCATCCCTCAATTATTGGCAGCTTCATCTAACGGGTATAATAATTTTCTGCCGTTCTAATTTAAGGCATTCTGGCACCCATTCCCCCCCCAAAAGGAAATTTGAACCCTGAGCGCTATGGTAAGCAACGTTACACAAATCTTGACTGACGAGGATCCACTTTGGGGATTTCCCGGGGTAGTAGTCCACCACGCTAGTCCGGATGCAGATATATCAGTTTTATTACTTGAGAAGATCTTGCGGCAATTCAACTTCGGCAACGTATCTGTATGGTGTGTCTCTTGGATATACCAGCAACTCCAGGCTGGCTAAGAGCTTGCCTTTCTTTTTTCTCCTCCCTTTCCGAGCTTTACGTTGCACTTGATGCAGCTATTGATCATTTCTTTGCCCTCGTACTGTTAATTCTTAATTCTTAGCCCCCCTACTCTTGCATTTGAGGGATGATCCAGATGTGATCTGACGAGAGTGACATCAGAAGCCACGGTCCGGGAAATAGAGCGGCCCTCACCTGCCATTACATAGTGTATACGACATAGTCCGAGAGTTATACAGACCAACAATGTGGCTATAAGTACGCTCCGTGTTACCCAGCTCTGGGACTGAACAGAATCACCACAACTAAAATCTCTTGCCAGATGTACCATCATGGAAAAGATATGACGGGCTCTCGCTTTGGTCATGGCCATTTCTTCCGCTCAGGCTCAAAACAATCCTTTCGCTCAAAGCGCCCTTCGGGAGTATGCCTGTAATGATACAGTGCACACCCGTGACCAGGCCTCTGAAAACATCAAGTGCTGTCCTGACGGCACTGGGTTTGGCGGTCAGGGCTATGTCCTCGGCGTTCCCATCTGACCCGATGGCAGCACCCGCGATGGGGACCAGTGTGTCTACAATACGAAGCCCACCTGCAATACTGGATACAAGTACAAGAGCGACTTCTGCATCGCCACCAACCCTGCTATACCTGCCCTTCCGGTTCCATTCTGAAGTGTGACGTAGGTATTCATCAGGGAGATGATTCTTATGTGACAGTCCGTAGTTTTTGGGTACATAAATAAGCAAGCAAGACTGGGAATTGATGGCAAATCCACGGGAGAAAATATCTTTAATGACTACGGAGAGAGAAGAGACCTGGGGAAGATCTAGGAGCAAGGACATGGGCAAACAAACGGAGAACGGGCAGCTTCAGGCACCCAGGCAGCCACACCCTGTTAGAGGATTGCATATTAAAAAATGTAGGATCCAATCAATGGTGTTCAAGGCCCTTTTTCTGAAAGATGCTATTGCACAAGGCCATGTCAACATCTGCCGAGTTAATACCAAGAAAATTGCTGCTGATGGATTTACCAAAGCATTTACAAAAGATTAATTACTATGTTGTAGAAAGATCTCGCGCTCGGTCGATAACAGGCATTGTCCCACTCGCCATGTGTATGATTGTGTTGTGCTGATAGTGTGGAAAGCTATGCTCACGCAAAAAATAAAGAAAAAGTTGACGAAGACGAATGTAGCTTAAGGCTCATAAACCCTAAAAAGATGGACAGTATGGCGATATAGTCTGCTAGCGTCATGAATTAGGCACCACGCAGACCATTTGCGTTATGAAGGCATAATCAATCTGTCCAAAGAGGTTTACAAAGCTTTAGCGGGTCATTGAGCAATGTATGTTGGAATCCGTCGACGTAATGTTCACCGCCCACCCTTCCGCCCTAGACATTTTGACGTATTTTTTTGTTGCATCCTACGGCCAAGCTATTTTATTTCTTCGATCATCCAGTCCCTCGAGACCGATCGCCCACTACTTCAATTAAGATGAATCGCATTTCACCGGATTGAACAACACACTCTTTTTAACGCGCTTCGATGGCCCAGTTTGTTCCGCGCAATGCATTCCCCCATTATGGGGCTATTCCAAGGTCCTATTTCTTAGGACACCACAGAGCTGGTCTGACCAAGATGAAGAGCATGCTCTCAACTATCGACTATGTTGTCGAATGTCGTGACTACCGAGCGCCTGTGACCTCGATCAACCCAATGTTTGAGGAAGCTTTGGGCAAGATGCGACGACTGGTTGTCTACACCAAGAGAGACCTGGGAAGCATTCCCAAATCATCTGCCCAGAAAGCAGTAAGTATTTTTTTTCTACCATGGGGTCAGATAACAGACCGTTATTTGATATCAGCTAACACAGTCGCAGACAGAACGCAAGTTGCAAAGTTTTGATCCAAAGAGCGCCGTGTTCTTCACTAGCTCGTCCGACCGCCAAGATGTCAGCCAGATCATCAAACACCTTCGAAACGATGCCGAGGCTCCCGATAAGTTAGTAGGCTGTCGAGTGTTGGTTGTCGGAATGCCCAATGTTGGCAAGTCAACACTGATCAACAACCTGCGCAACTCAGGCACTGGCAAAGCTAAGGCTATGAAAACCGGACAGCAGCCTGGCGTCACCCGCAAAATAGCTACGCAGGTTAAAATCATTGACCGTGAGAACGGGTCACATGTGTACGTCCTGGACACGCCGGGAGTGTTCATGCCGTATGTCGCAGACGCAGAGAATATGCTCAAGCTGGCTCTCTGTGGCTGTGTCAAGGATAATGTCATTTCAACGATCACTCTCGCGGACTACTTGTTGTATCATATAAATAAGCAGGATCCAACAGTGTACAAACGCTGGTCTGAACCGACAAATGACGTGGTTCCGTTGATTGAAAGCTTTGCGCGCCAGACTGGCTTGCTGGCAAAAGGCGGAGTGCCAATGATGGATGGAGCCGCGCTTCTTTTCATACAGAAGTGGAGGCAAGGAGAGCTAGGTCGATTTTTGATAGACGACCTAGAAGCAGAGCAACAAAAACGGGAGGACCCTACGCAAACACCGCGCATGAGCATGACGCAAGCCTTGAGAGTGGAAAGGACGACTCGAAAGAACAAACCGGAAGCGCCTAGCGATCTGTAGCATACTGTACAAAAGAGATATTGGTAGATATTTTTGAAATAATAATCAAGTGATGTCATTACGAACAAACGGAGGATGATGCTTGAAATGTGAAGATTTTGCAGAAGCGCCTGTAACGCCCAACCAAAGCACAGGACAGAAATGGAAGCATGGAATCTTGGACACAGTGTCTTAATCAAGAGATTTTATCCAGAAGGCGGCGCCGCCGCCTATCCACGAGTTCTTCCTGGACCTCGTCTAGCGTTGGGAGTCTCCATTCCACCCCGTCGCCCGCATCACCAGGTAGAGATTGCCAGCCATCTTCGGCATCATCCTCTCCTTGATGACGCAGGTGTTCAACAGACTCCTTTTCCTTCTGCTTTTCATATGCCAATAACGTGCCATCTTCTTCATCAAGACCATAGCCAAAGTAATTGGCATCCACTTTCCTTGTCGCAATATCTCCACCGCGGCCAGACACAGCCTCTTCCTCATCCGGTCCTTTGGCGCGAGTGATTGCAGCCTCGATCATTTCTTTGACACCTGGTAGCTCGCGGGCACGGCCGTAATATTTGTAGCCTCTGCCTCCGCCGGGGATCTCGCGTCCTTCATCATCGTAAAGCCGGTTCGATCCACGCATGTAGTTCGGTCCACCCAGGTTGCGGATTTGCATTTCCCATGCCCATTTCTCGCGCATGAGCTTGTTGATCTCATCGTTGAGATCGCGGATCTGGTAATCGCTCAGGCTTTGCACATGAATGCGTGATACTTTGCGCGAGATTTCTTTGACGACTTGTCCGCGCCAGCGCTCGCATACTGGCACCGTGTCGATGGATGTAATAGCCTTGGGGCGTCGTGTGCGTGAGAGATCAATGATTCCGAGGTCGGATGCTTGCTGCGCTCGGAAGCGGAACAGCATCGACTGCGCTTTTTCGCTGTTGCGTGCCTATTACATAGGCGGGGGTTGGGTTAGCAAAATGTGCATGGACTTGGATATAGAGATTTTCTCGTGGCGTTGAGCCGATAAGGATGACTCTCACCATTATGAAGAATTGACCAAGTCAGCGACCCGAATAAGTCGGGTATCGTGGGCGTTGGCAGGGAAGAAATCCGGAGAGGAAATCATGAGCTTAACAGCTTGAAGTGAAGTCGCGCGCTAATTGCCGCTTGCCGCGCGGATATCACGTGCCTTGTTTCTACATATCGTCAACGTCAGTCAGTCCACCATCCAACATGTCTGTTTGGTTTATTGGCGCTTTCGAATATTTACTCAAAAACAGCAATGTTTATCATATGTAGCCCTTCGCTAGGATTATGGGTTTGTTCACAAACAACAGGTGATGCCCATCTGACACCGCCAATATCTACTAGAATTCAGGGTATATTCATGTTAACAATCATCGAAAACAATTCATAAGGAGTGTCGATAAAGTCTACTACGATCGTTCCGAAATGACACTCAGGATTTCCCTCTATATATTCAAGCAATATATGGTTGACCCGCTTTGTATAGGTGATTCCGCAAATATCTCAAACTATGGCACAGGAAATGTGCGATATGTCTTTGCATGATCTGAGTCTTAGCATGTTCGAGGCTATGAGGTTGAGAAACGTCCGCTTCGGTGAGCGAACACTTCGACTTTGCTAATAGTTATAGCTTCTTCAAAGCAAATATAAGGCCAATGTAGATATAACAGTGGGAGAATTTACCATATTTGATCTTTCTTGGAATACATATACACATGTAGCTGTAGGCAAGGAAGTGCTATGGATCGACAATTGTGGACTCGAAAATAGGAAGCCAGCCGGAGGTTGTCTCCCATAAGACATGTACAGTGTCCTATCGTTCTAAGAGTCAAGCAGCATTAAAAGTTATTCGAAGGAAGAAGACTGATAAATGCAGGTTTCGGTGAGATGTTACATTCTCGTCATTGTAGATAACCTAGTCCACCTGTGGAGCATATTTACTCATGAACACAAAACTGAAACAAAAATCAACGCCGGAAAATACAGACCAAGAGATAAAGCTTGGCCTTTCAAATAATATGAACAAGCTCAAGGCCAGCAGAAAAGACTGATACATCCCTTTCCCAAATGCAAATAAACGTCATTAACACAGAACATCCATCCATAATAATTGTTACAACTCCGAGCAGGAATCAGCCTGCTCAACATCACGTAAGGCATATTCACAAAAAGCCCTTAGTGTTGCTGGGTTGCCGTTGGGGAATGTCGTTAGATCCATAGACACCACTCCCGCGACGACTTCCGGCATCACTGAAGGGCACGGCACTACGCCCAATTGTACTGCCCCGCTCAACGCGCAGGGCCTTCCAGCCTTCCAGCTCGCGCTCCAGTCGCAATGCTTTCTCACGCTCCTCGCGGAGATCTCGCTCGGCGCGGCGGGCCAGCAGCTGCGCGTCCGAGTCGTTATGCTGGAGCTCCTCGATGTTACGAAGGAGCCGTTCAATCTTGTCCCGAGCTCTGTTGACGTCGTCATTCAACTGGGCGTTCATCTTATCACGCCTATCAATCTGGGATTGGAGGTCCTTGACGGTCCGGTCAACATTGCGAAGAGAGCGCTGCTCGGAGCTGTGCTTGCTCTCCTGGTCTTCCAGATGGGTTTCAAGCTAGACGGCCAGGTTAGTAAGAAAGGCACAAAAAGAAAAGAGCATAGAGTTTCTGAAACTTACCTCCTTGATTCGCTTGTGCAAGAAGCGAACATCCTGGCTACCAGAGGAATAGCTCTTGGTTTCCAGATCGACACACCGGAGTTGGGCCTCCTTCAGTTGCTTCTCGAGTGCTGCCTTGTCTTTGAAAAGTTGTGCATTGGCCTCCCGCTCAGCAGTGACCTCCTTCTGCATTTCAGTTGCCAGGGCATCCGCGCGGCGCATTTTACCAACCGCAGCGGCAGAAACATCTTCCTGCTGCGCAATCCTGGACTTGAGCTCAAGAAGCTCACGGTCCATACTGGCAGCATTTCGCATAGATGGGCTCTCGCCCTTGGCAAGGTCCTCAAGTCGCTCGCCGGCTTCAGCCAATCGGCCTTCCAGCATCTTCTTGTCCTTCAGAAGGAGATCGCGCTCTGCCTGAACGTCCTCAACGGAGGTCCGAAGGGTGCGCACTTGGGACAAGAGTGAAACAACCTTGCTTTGAGCCTCGTTGTGAGCGTTGACAGCTTCATCACGAGAGTTGGTGACATCCTGCAGAACGACATCCATGCGAG